ACTATTCTCAATATGGCAAACATACTCATAATCATTCATTCCAAAAGCAAAGAATTCTTTCACTTCTGTTACACATAAGACACGTTTTTGCTTTTCAACCATAATGCAAAGTTCAAATGCAAATCAAAGTTAATGCAAAACTTTCTGTAAATGGATAATAATTATATCTATACCTAGAAATTTCTAATGCCCACTTTTACTTAATTAATGAAAAGAATTTAAGAACAAAACTAGAATTTTTATTTTCGAACATGAGATCATATCAGCTCAGTACTTTGCTGACATTTCGATACTTGGGATATTTTTCTAAAGGCTGACAAACTCTAAACACAATAGTAAGAAAAGAAAACTGTACGTACTCCATTTCCAATAGAATTAAAAGTTTTACCTTTCAAGGCGGCAGCAGAGCAATTATGGGTTTTTCTCCGGAAAAATAACTTCAAGCAAGCAGTTGCTGTGGGTAGCTGGCTGATTCAGTGTAATAAACATTCATGTTATAACCACTTTTCTCCTGGGATTCCCACTGAAATCCTACATGTGAGATACTTCAAGGTTCTTTTCAGTTTCTTCAAAATTAATCTGAGGCAGAATTGTTTTTAAAAAATATCTTCGGTGTTTTACTTGGAAATTACTTTTTTCCTTCCTCTCTCCGTGATTACGGAACTGTACAGAATTCAGACTTGGGCCTGCTGGAATGAGAGAGCTATATAAGTAAACTGCTTCCAGATGTAGTGAATAAGGCAGCAGCAGAATTGCTGAACTTTCCTCCTCCCACCCTAGTTGTTCTTCATCAGAAAGAAAATTCCAGAGATTGGGGGGGTGGGGGGGGAGAGATTTTAGGAAGAGCTCAAGTTTAGATTTTTTTTTTAATGTTGTGTATATTTTGGATCATCGTGAACAAAGAAACATCTATAAATCTATAAACTTACAAGCATGAGAAATGAGTAAATGTGGAAAAACCCCTATTTTAAATAAAATAATAACCCCAATCTGTGTTTGCATTGAGAAAATAATTACAGATTCTGCATCTTTTAGAAGATTCGGTGCAATGTTCACCCTATAATGTTAAAGCATAGTTGAGGAAAAGTCATACAGAATATATTTTAGCTCTGCACTATGGATATTTCAAGAGGTCACTAACCTACAATCTTTGGGTGGGAAACTCGGGGGGGGGGGGCATCGGGGGGGAGGCAGTGTGTCAGTCCAGGCCCCTTTTTACATGTGTCGCATGATGCAGCTAAAAAAGAGATTTAAACATACAATCACAGCCACCATTTTTACTTTTTTTTTATTTCCACCCCCATGCAAATACTTCATGAAAATTACATTTTAAAAAAGAGGTTTAAAAAATCCCGATGACAAAAGCAGTTATCTTACTGCCTTAAATGCTCTGAAAAAACAACTCTTTATGCTGGCCATCTTGAATGAAAACTGATAATTTCTGCAGGAGGAAAAAAGCTGTGTCACAAAAGAGATTTTAAAAAATCAGAAATCTGATAGCAATTTTTCAACTGGCAAATTTTATTAGGCATATACTTCCATAAGAAACATCTTGTTGGAAAAAGTGTCACCCAACTCCTTCTGATGAAGACTAATATGATCATAGACTAACCCAATTCTCCTCCTACAGTTAAAGAGGAACCTAAGAAGAAATTTAATTACAATCAAGGAACCATTTTGCCCAAGGGTTCTAGCTCATGACTATTGATTGCATGAATCTGAATTAAAATACTCCCAACAATTTTTTAATAGAACAGACCTAGAAGAGAAAACTCTCATGACTTCCATGAGAAAGTAAAAGGGGTAGGAAAGTTATGTGAGAAAGCTTTCTAACCACCATGCTGAACAGGACTTTCTTATACATACAGGTATATTTTTACAACTCTGCTTATCATTCTGAACTCACTCTATTAATTCAAATATCTGATTTGGGACACTGTACTAAGAGAAATGTTGTGTAACTTTGCCGTGTCCAGATCAGTTCAAATATTGATATGCTGTAAGCGATTTATCTTGGAGAAAGGTAAAAAATTACAAGTGAAGAAAGTGATGGGGAAACGTGTGTGTGTGCACACACACACACACAACATTAATTATTCTGTTTATTTCTGAGCTCAGTTCAAGATATTTATTGCTTCTCTTGTGCTTCTGTTGTGGTTTTAACAATTAACAAAGCATTGGATTTTAGACTGTGGACTTTTGTGGGAGGTCCATTAATTCAGAAAGACAAGATTAAAATATGCTAATAAATTTAAATAATTTTTTGAAGATATTTAATGGGAAGCTGTATCATTTCAAAGGAATACATAAACATCGGTTCAGTCAATTTGGCCCCCAATATGGACAGGAACTATGGCCTTGCAGTCTGTTTAAAAGCCCAATGTTTAGCATATGTTCCCTAAATTAAGGATCCCTAACCCCCCATGGGCCATGGACCAGGACCAGTCTGTGGCTTGTAAAGAACTGGGCCGTGCAAGCGGCCAGTGAGTGAGCAAAGCTTCATCTGTGCGTGTGTGGGATCTAGGTTGCATGTCAAACAACCATCCCAACCCACATCAGTGGAAGACAATTTTTCTTTCAAAACTGGTTCTTGGTGCCAGAAAAGTTGAAGGCCGCTGCTTTAAATAATATATAGAACAATGTTTGCATTGTATGGTAGTGTGCAGATGCATATGTTAAAGGCACAACTTTGCACTCCCAGGAGACAATCTAGTCTTTAGCTAAAGACATATGATGTTGGCTGGCATCCATCACTAAGGACAGGTCCTTAGGCACAATGTGTGGTGGCATTTTGAGCACCACTTTTTAGACAAGCCAGAACTGTGTGTCTCCCTCAAGGTACAACTTTCTGACAGCTCATCTATCTCCAAGGCTGCATTACACCTATGACACCACTGTTGTGTTAGACAGATGCTAAGGTAAGGGCAAAAAATATACATTGTAGATAGAGTCCAGACTAGATGGATTAGACATGTTACCTGTGCTGATATTTGCTTACAGAAATGAGTTCAATCACCCTGGAAACATCTTGATGCAACATGTATTGTACAGCTACTGGAAAACTGTTGCCTTCTGGTGATTGCCTGGGTTTTTGCAACTCAGATTTCATATCTCCGTGTACATCTGCATTTATGGAGTGATAGGAAAACTGCATTATGTCCTTTCTCAGGAGCCTTTTCAACAATTATTTGCATGAGGAGGAAGATGTTCTAATAGCAGTAGCAATAGCACTTAGACTTATATACCATTTCACAATGCTTTACAGCCCTCTCTAAGCAGTTTACAGAGTCAGCATATTGCCCCCAACAATCTGGGTAATTTTACCCACCTCGCAAGGATGGAAGGCTGAGTCAACCTTGAGCCTGGTGAGATTTGAACTGCCAAATTGCAGGCAGGCAGCAGGCGTAACCTGCAGTACTGCACTCTAACCACTGCGCCACTGTGGCTAATGATGGGCTTTCCTCTTAAGAGAGGCTAAGGCTGTAGTGGCGAACCTATGGCATTCATGCCACAGGTGGCACGCAGAGCCTTTTCTGTGGGCATGTGTCACTGTTGCCCCAGCTTGGCTCTGCCGCGCATGTGCACATGCTTCCTGCCGGCCAGCTAGTCTTCAGGTCTCTGCCGCACATGTGCGGGGGCGGGGCACATGCATGGGGGTACATGCATGCACAGGGGTATGCATGAATTCAGGGGCATGCGTGAATGTGGGGGGTGTACATGCGTGGGGACACGCACACTGCATTTTGGGTATGTGCATGTGCTTGCGCACTTTGGGCACTCTGTGCCAAAAAGGTTCACCATCACTGAGCTAAGGCAAAGCCTTGCTGCGAACGATGCCTATATTCTTGAATCCGAATGGCTTTTTACAACTCCAGGTAAATTAATTTATAACCATTTTGCTCCTCCTCACTAGAAGCAATGAATGGCAACTGTGCAAGTATTAAAGACTAGACTCCAGGTTGAATAATTTTAACACAGTACCTTTAGGGTACAACCATTGCAAAATAATCTATCCATACCAAGACCTTACCCTCAGATGACATCTCAAAGAAATTTAGGATTTAGTATTCATTTTCTGCTTAGCTGATACCAAGAATCATATTCACAAAACTGCAGACAAGTTGTGACCATTTTCCCAACAAACTCATTGTTTGATGGCGTTAAAGTATCCTCACAGGATGCGAGATATTCTAATTATTATTATGGTTGGCCATATTATTAATATTATTAATTATTATTATTGGTGGTGGTGGTAGTGGTAGTAGTAGTATTTATTTTATTCATTAAACATGAAACTCAGTCAACTGAACATTTAAAAATGTATCACACATATTGACTGGCTCTGATGCAACCATCAGAGCCAGTAGGCATCAACCAAGTGTCTTCTTAAAATGTATGTTGTTCCCAATAGTGCAGTCTTGCAGTCCCACTGGTGTTATTACAGGAAGCTGCAAATTCTTGATGCATTTTTGCAAAATTCTTGGACATGGTACCAAGTGCCCCGATGACAATGGGTATCACTGCAAAATGTTTCATCCATAATTGTGTAGTTTCAATGACCAGGTTGCGATATTTTGTGATTTTTTTTTCCCATTCTTTTTCTTCGACTCTGGCGTTTCCTGGTACAGCAATATCAATAAATTGTACGATTCAGTTTTCGACAACTGTGATATCTGGAGTGTTGTATTCCAAATGACAATCTGTGCGTATTCGAAATATCTTTCCCTTCTCTTTTTTGACTTTTTCCACTTTATGGTTCTCATGACTTTTCGGATACAGGTAAGTTGTATTTTTTACATAATAACCAGTGAATTAATTTAGCAACTGGGTCATGTCTAGCTTTGTAAAATTTTACTGCACTCACATATCCACAAACGGATCCATTGTTATTGTTATTATTCTTATTTATTGCTGCATCTTCATCCCACGCACTTCCCCCAGGCCGGCTCGGCTTCATCGCCAAATTCCCCAGCAGCTGCCTCAGGCCCCGCCGCGTTGCATTGTGGGCGTGGGCGGATAAAATGGCGGTAGGCGCCGCTGCCCTGAATTGGAGGCGCGTTTCTTCTTTCACGGGGCCGGTCCCCCGATCCCGGCATGGTCACCGCGCCGTGGCGATCCGCGAGCTGGTCATCATTTTCGGGGGCGGCAACGAAGGCATCGCCGATGAGCTGCATGTGTACAACACCGGTGCGGAGCGGGGGAAGAAGGGAAGGAGAAGCAGGGCGGGCTCGGTTGCCCCGGCAGGGCGCTTCCCCCCTTCAAGCAGTAACTGCTGCTGCTGCTGCTGCTGCTGCTGCTGCTTCGCTAGACGCGAAAAGGCCTTCGGCGGGCTGGTCTTAGGGTCGGGCTGGGCTGGAGGGAGGATGCGTCTGCGAAGCGGCGAAGGTGGTTGGGGGGCGGCCGGTGACTGGCTGGGGATGCTAGGCTTGGGAGTTTGCGCCAGGGTTTCAGCCCCCTGCCCTGGCTTCGTGGCGGACAGAAATTTCTCCCCTCGTTCCCTCTTGGGCTTTTAGAGACGCAGAGGTCGTGTGTATTCGCCGACACGGACCGGCCTTCTGCGCTTAATCCGAATGGAAGAGTCTCCGAAGCAGTTTTGGCTCAAGCGCATCTTCGGAGGTTTAGCCCTTGTTCTCTCGGCTGAACTTCTTATATAGACGGTCCTTTTCCTTCTTTTATAAACTCGATGGGGTGCAGTGGCGACCGAAGGGTGAGAAACAGTTTTGTCAGATTTCCCCGGCAAGATGCACTCAACCACAAATTTCAATTTAATGTGTTGACCATAAAGTGCAGCAACGTAGAAAATTGAGTCAACACACAAAATTGAATTAACTGGTTAATTCCATTGCTATATTAACTTTGGATGTGTTGCTTTATATTTGCTTTATAGTTCCTATCTCCAAGGGCATAATCTTAGTCCTGCATGCACCTTTATTTTTTGTTATAATGGTCTATTCAAGCAGGGAATTATTATCTTAGTGTGGAAGAAGCAGGGAATGAAGGTTTTAGGGTCTGGTGTATACTGTATATGTCTTTTTTATGCTGAGTGTATTTTGTGCACACTAGTGAGGACTAGCTATATGAATTTGCAAACTTCTGCTCCCATAATGTATAGCATACATCTGTTAGATGAGATTGGAGTAACTTTTGTCTTTCATAACTTTGCCTGATGGTGATGCTAATCAAATAATCAGAGATATGTGGTCTGAATAAAGATGAGTATAACAGTAAAAAAAAGTCATTGTATCCAGAGATAAGGAAGATTCATATACAGTAGTACATAATAAAGAATGTGAGCAATTATGTGTATAAATTATAGATATAATGTAGGTAATAAAGATAAAAGTATGTCGAGAACTGTTATCAAAAAACTTTTTTTGATAAGTTTGATTAACCATGTCAAATACTTATAATTTATAATTATAAGCTTCCATCACAGGGTTTGTGAGTTATTGTATGATTTACTTCAATTAAACTTTGCAATAAAATGCTTTGGGTCAGTGGATAAATGAAAATATATTGTGAATCTATATTAAAAATGGATGATATTGCTATAAGCATGGGTCAAGAAGTGACAAAATATTTAGTGAGAATATGTGAAAGCATTAACTGTATTAAGACATAAAGTAGAATGCTGAATCCTAGGAAAAGATATGTGCTCAGTAATTTTGCATTGAGGGGTTGTAAATGGAAAGTATAATTTTTTTGGAAATTTGCACATGAGAAATGAGGGTGGTAGCTGGAAGGCATATGCATTAACGGATTTGAATCTTGAACCTAGGCCACCAAACAGGTATGTACAGATAGTCCTCGACTTATAACCTGTTTAGTGACCAATGGTACAGATTTTGTTTTATGAGCATTTTTCACATGACTTTCTCATGGTCATGTGATCAAAATTGGGATGTTTGGCAACTGCCATGTATTTATGACAGAGTGTCCCAGAGTCACCTTTTGCAACCTCTTGACAAGCAAAGTCAACGGGGAAGCCAATTTATTTAACAACTGCAGTGATTCACTTAACAACTGTAACCAGAAAGGTCTTAAAATGAGGCAAAACTCACTTAACAGCTGTTTTGCTTAGCAGTGAAAATTTTGGACCAATTATGGTCACAAGTTGAGGATTATCTGTAATAAAGTTGTTCAAAGTATAGACTGTACTAACCAATTAGATTTGCTGGAATTGGGATATAATAATGGATGTGATTAGCCTAGCTAGTAAAACTGGCAGGAAAGTATTGCTAGTTTGGGAACAGGGTTCTAGTAGGTCTGAGGTATATTTATACACTTTGAAAAGCACTTCCATGATCCAATCTGTTTCGGTGAGGATGAATGTAGGAACATTTTTTTCCTAAAACAGGGTTTTATGAAGTGAATCTTTGTGCTGAGGGAAAGAAAGAGACCATGCTGAAATTAGACATGGGAAGATTATGAGAATAATGGTTTTTGCACTGCAAATCAAATACAAAAATAATTTTGGGTGTAGAATCTCATCATATTACATTTCTTTTTTTAATATTAATTATTAATATACTGTACAAAGTTTGATGGGCAAGTTGGCAAAAAAATAAATAAATTGGGACCTATTGATTTTTCTGCAATAGTTTGCATGGAGTTTTAAAGTTCAAAATTGTTCAAATTATCCCAACCCCTGCTTTAAGTTATTCTTAAGTTAAAATGAAAACTGATAATTTAGTATGGATATTTAGATAGTTACCTCTGTTTTACTTATTTTATATCAATGTTTTATTACATAATGCATATCTTTTGCATCTAATTGGCAGATCTTGAGACTGATTGGTAAGTAAGGAATCAGTTTTCCATTTCCTGATGAAGAAAGGAATATCTTTTTGTCTAAGAATGCAAGATTTAAAACCTAATAAAAATTAATGAATATTAAAGTCCCATTATTAAATAAATGTAGGGATTCTGTGTTTAAATTTTTGGATGTCTTGTTTAGAAATAGTATCAGGCTCATGCTATTAATTCTGACCTAGGTCCATTTTTGTGTGTCTTTTGCTGCAGCCACAAACCAATGGTTTCTTCCTGCTGTCAGAGGAGATATTCCACCAGGGTGTGCAGCCCATGGATTTGTCTGTGATGGTACCAGAATATTAGTATTTGGAGGAATGGTTGAATATGGAAGATATAGTAATGATTTGTATGAACTACAGGTACTGTATGTTTGATTTTCACAATTATTTAAATAGGTTGAGAATCTTGGTATCATTTAATAAATTCTTAACTGGGTGCATATTAAGATTGGAAGAGATTGATATAATAGCAATAGCACTTAGATTTATATATCACTTCATATTAGTGGTTAAAACACCAGGCTAGAAAACAGGAAACCACGAGTCCTGCCTTAACTACAAAGCCAACTGGGTAACCTTGGGCTAATCAGTCTCTTCCAGCCCTAGGAAGGAGGCAATAATAAACCATTTCTATAAAACCTTGCTAAGAAGATTGGAAGGATTTGTCCATATCTATCCACAGCATCAGACTGCCTTGGGATTTCCTTTGAAACTTTTGCCAGATAGAATTCTGATTTCTGGAAGGTAAAATAAGCAAATCCTTATCTTCTGGATCCTGGAATGGCATCTGTGGATAACAATGCACTTTCCAACAGATTCTTTCGTGACTACTACAGTAGTATTTTAAAAATGAATTTAAAGTATGGTACCATACTTTTTAAGGGCGTGAAAGCTAGCATGCTGCAAATAAAAGAACCAGCTCCATCATAACCTTTATTGATGTCTCTGGTTCTCATATAGTTTCTAGAGGCATTTTTAGAAAATTAATTGACTGAAGAACAGTGCTTTGCTTACTTCTGCTGGATGAAAGTTTGGTGTCTGGCAGCCACACTAGCAGTAATTTTGTAAACAGTTTTGCTTGCATTTCTCAACATGCTCTTTTTCTATCTACAAGGCAAGTCGATGGCTGTGGAAAAAAATGAGGCCTCAGCCCCCTTCAACAGGTTTAGCTCCATGCCCTCGTCTTGGCCATAGCTTCTGTCTATATGGCAACAAGTGCTACTTATTTGGTGGGCTGGCAAATGAGAGTGAAGACTCAAACAATAACATTCCAAGGTATGTGGATGAGTTTGGAACATAATATTTAGCATGATTTGAGGTTTAGGTTTTCTTACTTTTAAACAGCTGTACGGTAAAAACAATTAGAATGTACATAGTGAGCCTATTTAGTATTCAAATCTATTCCTAATTACTAGTATCAAGGAGGAAGGTTAGTAATGAACTGTCAAACTCTTAAATCCAGAAATATGAAATACTAATATAAGCTCGATGCTTGAAAATAACAGTAAAAACATGCTTATTAGTAGCATTTGGAGCAGTTTACAGTGAGATTATCTTGAATGTATAGTGATATAGGGTTTAATGGTTTTCATTAATTGATCTGAGCTTATTAGTGACATTTTAAAACCTCTTAATTTTGCTTTAGCATCTTAAGTTGGAGTATCTATACATATTTCAGTTTGTTATTTATTCTATAGTTATACTAATCTAAAAGTTGGGCTCTAACCCATCCATTTTAAAATTGGCAATAGTAGAAAAAAATGTTTTAAAATGCTTCTGGAAGACATAGTTTTGACAAATCTCCAGAAGAAAATTCTTCATTTTTTTCTTTTTGAAATCTTTTTTTTAACTAACGTCTGTAGAGATTCTCAATCATCCAGGTCATGGTTGTCCCAAAGGTGCTTTTTCAAGAGGCAACAGGACTTTCTTGTTTTTTCTTTGAAGATGTTTCTCTTCTCATCCAAGAAGCTTTTTCAGCTCTTACAGGATAATAGGGAATGGAAGGATTTATAGTCCTTGCAGACAGCTGGTCATTTGCATCCTTTTAGAGGGTCCTTGAAGCACTTGGAGGTTTATCTGTGTCCTCAGTCTGCAATTTTTCTCTGGAAATCTATTCCTACTCCCACACCATTCATAGGGTGTTCATCCCAAATTGTACAACTAAAACTCTCTGGAGACTATAGAAACATTTAATATATCCTTTGCAAAAAAAGGCCTTGTTGTAAAAACTTGGTGATTGCATTTACAGGTTGAAGTTTCTTTACGGTAGTGCCATAGAAAGTTATTGGCGTTTTCTGTATTTATAACCCACTTTAGATATTTAAATGATTTCTATGAATTGGAGCTGCAGCATGGATCAGGAGTCATAGGCTGGAGTATTCCATTGACCAGAGGAGTTTTGCCATCCCCCAGAGAATCACACACAGCTGTTATATACTGTAAAAAAGACTTGGGAAATCCAAAAATGTTTATGTTTGGAGGGATGTCTGGTTGCCGGCTTAATGACCTTTGGGAGCTTGATATAGGTGAGTATAATTGCAAGTAAAGTTATGCAAATTATTTTTATAAAATGCACTAAGGAAGAATTCATTCTGAAGGATTTGTTGTGTGATGGGAAAGTTTGGATCACCTTGTAAATTCTTAAACTTCAACTCTTATCTGAATGCTATATCTTGCAGTACATAGCAAAATAAGCAAGTTGCCCTAATGGACTATAGCCATTCCTAAATTTCAGCAAAAGTATTAAATTTTAATACGGATAACATCACAAGTATTTCAAAATATTGTTTCTTTGAGTAATTGTTTTAAAACGAAACAGTTTTGATTAAATGTTTTGTGAGATGGCTTTGTCCTTTAACACTTGTTTTGCAAATACAATAATAATTGGTAGGATACCTTAGACTCTAGAATTGAAGGTGGATAATAATCACAGGTGTGGTAAGAACAGTTCCATTTCCACAACTCAAAGATCTTATTTGAGGGATGAAATGCAAGTGTAAAACTAATGATGGCAATTTTTCTTTTTATTTTGCTTGTCTACAATCCTGCATAAAACTTTATATTTGGAATTTGGATTCTGAAAAGTCTAAGGAAGATTACCAATTTTCATAGCATGTGGCACTGAAAAATCAGTGTTCCACCATTTAAAATACCACCTTCCTGTATGTTGTAACCAACTTTTGGTGCCTACAAATATACTTTTCAAAAACAACCCTCCTTAGCATCTATCTGTGCATGATAAATTTCCTGAAGTCTGAAAAACAATATCTTACAAGTGTGTCTTATTCATGGAGTAATAAATTGTTCATAGAATTTTTATTGAGAGCTGCCTAGAGTGGGTTAGAACATGGACGGCTGTATAAATGTTATAAATAAATAATCCCTTCTATATGCTTTCTCTGTTTTTTCCCTTAATAGAGACAATGACTTGGTCGAAACCAGAAACTAAAGGGACAGTGCCACTTCCCCGTAGTCTCCATACAGCCAGTGTAATAGGAAACAAGTATGTCTGTTGTTAAAAGCTCACCTATAGAAAGGTACACCTAGTAGGAGACCATTACTCTAGTGTTTGTATTTAGGGATCCTGCTTGTATGTGGAATGTAGTGAGCTTCAGCCCTGTGAGAAACACTGCCTGCAGATTAGAGGATCTAACAATAGACTTCCAGGGAACCAAATTGGATTTCTTAAACATATGTTTTTTATTTGGAGACATATAATCCTCTGCGCATGACTTCAAATTTAATTAGAAAGCCCATTATATCTTTTAGAAAGGAAAAGAAAAAGACAAAGAGCTCAAAATAGGGAAAGGCTTACTTACATGTTGGTGCATTAGGAGGGAAAAAAACTTTATAACATGAGTAGCATAATAATGCTAATGTCATATTTCTAGAAGTTGCACTTTAATACTGTAACCAATCCATATAGTTTGTTTAAGATGTTGTAGGATTATTCATTATAAATAAGAATTTGTAGCTGATTACTATCATTGGTAATCCTGCTTTTTTATAACTTATGTGTTTTCTAGCCCTATTATTTCAATGAAGATTGCAGCTATACATTATAGCATATATTTTCTGGTGTCTATTTAACCTTATCCCTCAAGATACATTTTGGAGGCATTACATTTCTATTTAAGTTGAACTTCATACCACCCCTGCTAATGTGATGCTCAATTTGTACATAAAATTCAGAGGAACTTCGAAACACGATAGGTAGAATATTTGTTTCCCTACAGTCACTGCATCAACTGTTGCTAGAAATCTGACCAGAACTCAGGGCAAGGAGTTTTGCCTCTGAATTCCACCACTATAAGCACTGGACACCAAACGTGTGTTCTGTAAAGAAAATAACCCTACATTATGCACTTTATTTATTTATTTGATTTATATACAGTAGTTACCTGTCTCACACAAGTGACTGGGCATCTTACAAAGGTTAAAACGCAGAAAATGCCCCCTACATAAGCTCCAATGGCCAAAGATAGACAGTAACTCACCAAAAAAACCCTCGTCAATAACAATAGAACTCATCTATTCATCTGACTCAAATGCTTGGGAAAACAACCAGCTCTTCAATGCCTTATGAAAGACTAACAGGGTTGGATCCATTTAGATCTCCACAGCAGTGTTTTTTTCAACCTTGGCAACTTTAAGATCTTTGGACTTCAGTCTCAGAATTCTCCATGTTTGTTGGGGAATTCTGGGAGTTGAAGTCTAGATGTCTTAAGGTTGAAAAACATTACCCCGGAAGGATGCTATTCCACAGGGCAGATACTGCCACTGAGAAGGCACAACTCCAGGGTCCAGCAAGATGACATTGTTTGATAAAAGGCACCTGTTGGAACATGCCCTCTCTACCAAATCTGGTGGGCCAAACAGAAGCAATGGGAGAAAGATGATCCCTAACCCTTTGCTAGGAGAGCTTTATAGATAACAACAAGGAACGTGAATTGCACCCAGAAGCCTCCTCAGAGCCAGTGCCACTTGTAGAGCAATACAAAAAATACCCAAAACTGCCTGTGCTGCTGCATTCTGGACCAGCTGCAGTTTCTGAATGTTCTTCAAGGGTAGCCCCAACTAGAGTCAATTACAGTAATTCAAACAAGAGGTGACTAACAGATGGGTCACCATGAGCAAGGCTTCTAGGCTCAGGAATGGGTACAAGTGGAACACTAGATGAGTCTGTATAAAAGCCACCCTGGCAACGGCTGCCAAGTGTTCTTTGAGCTCCGCCCATCTTCATTTTTGCATTGCATGAATATTATTTTAATATAATATAATATAATTTGCTCCCAAGCAAATTATTGATTACATACATTGCTACAGCATCAAATGCCCTCGTGTCCTTTACTAGATTTTTGTGTTTCGTTTGATTTACAGAATGTATATTCATAATCATTTATTGGATATAATCCCTTTTTGTCACCTACTCATAACTGAGAAACATTGTTAACATTTAACATGTATAATGTTGAAGTTGAATGTGTATAATTGTGCCATGAGGGAATGTATCTAATGATCTAATGTATCAATGATTAGGCTTGATAATAGATGATGATGGATACTATGATTGCTTGCCATGAAGTTTATGTGTATCTCCAAATCACCTTGACCCCAGGCAATTGCCTAGACAATCCCTGCAGTTTTCTCGACAATATTTTTTGAATGTGGTTTGCTCTTGCCTCCTTCCTTAGGGCTGAAAGGGAATGACTAGCCCAAAGTTCCACAACTGGCTTTGTACCTAAGAAGGACTAGAATTCAGTTTCATGTCTGACTTTCTACTGTGATGTAATCACAAATAAAGATAGTGGACTATGGAGTTCAGCCACCTCGTGAGGGAAATTATACACTATCTCTACATTATCATGTTCGTCATTAGTATGGCATTAGTTGTTTTAAGATTGGCTTGTTGCTAGAGATGATGAGATTTTAAAACAGTTTGTACCACCATTCAGAAGGCATGTAGGAATTCTGTATTCTTTTTAAAAAATGATTTTCTGTTTGGAAAAAAAAGATTTAAAAAAACAAGGGAAATATAGTATTTGGACCTTCCTCTACAAAATTCTGAATGAAACACAGTAATTTCATGATTTGAAAAGATTGTTTTGACGAGTCCTCTTTCAATTAGCCAAGTATAATTCTGTAATATTCTACTGTCCAAATACTATGGGGTTTTAATGTATGTTTTTATAGTAATTCATACATACAGCACAATATGGGTTCACCCATCATGCTAAGCTACAGTTGATGTTTGCTTTAAGCCTAGTGAGCTATAAGCGATTGTTTCATGGCTCAACATAATAATTTCAATAAATCGTGGCTGAATAAGCCCTAGACAAGTGCAATTTACGAAGCCAGTTGAAATTGTTCTGTCACTTCAACACTAAAGCATTACACAAATAAATTAATAATATATTATTTTAACGCATCTTCTAAAGCACCTTTAATAATAACTTTTGTATGAATATCTTCTTTAAAATCTAGTAAGCAAAGACATTATTGGTTCTGACTTAATTTCTCTGAATATGTTTTATTGTATGGCTTGGGAGGACTGGAGAAAGGGGAAAGGGGAGTAAGATCAATTTTAGTTAGGAACTAGTAGTTTCTGTATAAATTGTAAGATGAAATGGAGCACGAAAATTAATTGTGCTTACATCCTCTCCCACTTTGTTCCTTTCTTCACCCTCCATGTTCTTATATTTGCAGAATGTACATTTTTGGTGGATGGATCCCACAGAGTACAGATGAGAGCCTCCCTGCTCAAGATGGGGAATGGAAATGTACTGGTTCATTTTCTTACTTAAATTTAGGTTAGTATACTTCATTTTTATCACATATAGAGTAACTCTGCATACCACTTATGTCTGCATGGGACATAATCTGCCATCACTTTTCTGCCTTGTGCGTAGCAGGGATTGCACTACATTGGATAACCCTGCAGACAGTAGATCTCTGCAGATAATATGGCTGTGTTCTTAAAATAATACTGGAAATTGAAACAAATGTTAAAAACAATACATTTAAACTATATCACTTCATTTTATAATAAGTGATTATGGCTCTTGTGTTGCTTTGTTATGGGGCAGCTCCAGGGAAGAGGCCAATGGAGCAGTTGTGAATGTGGGTTGCCACTCCACAAAGCTGGCTTCAGGTTTATAGTCCATCATTTTGGGTGAAAGGTAGCTCTTCACATGTATGTACGTATGTATGTGAAAAAAAATCAGATTTCCCAAGCTCTGCCCTCTGCTTGGGATTAAAAGATTTGGTCTGTGGACCCCATTTGCAAATGGTGGGATTCTCCATCTCTCCTGCAGACTCTAAATAACATGTGGCACCCCAAGAAGCTGTGAAAGTCCAGGGAATTGAAGCAAGAAAAAAAATACCCTTCAGGTAGTTGCTATTTCTGTAGAAACAAACAACATGTTAGGTTTATGATTTCTTTGCTGTGTTATGCTGAGTCTGGGGCTCTGACTCTGTACACAAATTATGAAGTACGATGTTTGATGCCAGCCTTCATGCATATCTCAAGTTATGTACATGAAGCTAATATTCTTATGATCCATAGTATCTGATTGTGGGCAGATAATTTTTCATTTATAGGAGAACAGTGTCATCTTGTGGTCTTTCTAGAGCATTTCTTTTGGATTTTGATCTTTATAACAGTTATTGCACAGCTTTGTAATATATCTTCTTCAGCATTGAACACTTGCATTTTAATACTTAAAATTGTGAATTCTTATATTTTCTCTTTTCTTTTAATTTATTTTAATAAAGGTTGTGTTTATATGTCCTGTGGTATTGATGTAACCCTCAAGAAAGATTGAATAATGTAGTCACTGTCACTATGATATACTGCCAGGAAATAGTATTAATGAAATGATTTGCTTGTTTTGCATTTTGACTTTTTAATTGCCAGAGAAGCAGCATATGTTGTGAGAACTCTATTCAATTAAATATATGTGCAGCTGAAGTAAGTGGGGAGAGCCAACATACCAGAGGGAGGGGAGGATGACAAGTGAGGTGCTTTTTGGAAATTAATTAAAGGCAGCAGGAATTACCAAACTGCTATCCCAAAGCAGGGATCAAAGCCAATGTGTGAGGACCCAGAGGGCTTCTAGGAAAACAGGTTTTAAAGACTACCCAAATGTACTTGAAAGCATGGACAGAGGATTTTCCTTGTTGAAGATATAAAACATTTGAGAGTTCTTTGATATGTTCCTGTGTGTCAGTATTCCAAGTAACACACCCATAGCAATCAAAACTCTGAGGCAATTGGATTCTTTAAGGAATAGATTTATTGGATATGTCATATTGGCATGAGCTGGTGAAAACCGACTTTAAATGTTCCTGTGATTTTCACCTATTTAAAAGTAAAAGTTCTTTCACTTTATTTAAACAAGTCACATGGTCCAGTCAGGATATAGTACAGTTGCTAGATGACTCCAGTCCTCTCCTGGACACCTGGTGGGAAAGTCCTTGGTTCCCAAGAGAAAGTATTTTATTTGGGCTGCAGCACCCCATCTATCTCTACGCACCCCTCTTTTTTCCAACTCCAGTTGTGGCCGCACTGAAGTCCCAAAATGGCCACAGCCAGATCAGCTTCAGGGTTGACACTGATCAATTGGTACTATTGGTACTGAGTAGATTAATGGGAAAATCTTCAAATGTTAAAGATGTCATTGTGAGGTTGAATTGCATTTCAAAGCTTTGGTATTAAACTGCTTATCAGGAATTATGGCTCTATCATATGAGGAAGGTGGGAGTGTCTAAAATGAAGAGCAGGTTTTGAATCTTTAGCTTCTTACCTTCTAGGACTTGCTGGACCTAGAGGGCAAATGATAAAATATGGTATCTTCATCCCATCAATGCCATAATTATGTACTTGCACCGGGCATTGTAAATAATCATTCATATGATGACTTCACATACAATAGAGTGAATAAACAAATATATGATATATTTTAAGCCAGTAAACAACTATTGGCAGACTTGTTTCTAGTTTTACTCTAGTTAATAATTACGTACATAATTATTATTGCATAGATTTATAGGATTTCCTGGTTTATTTTGTTTTCTACCTACAATAAATAGTGGTAAGCATGAATTTACTCATTATGAATTAGTGTGCATTAAGCAGTCGGTGTTCATTTGATTAAATCCTAATGCAGTCAAATATTAATTTGTTTTTATTTAACTTGTTATCAGATACTTTAGAATGGATAAATCTAATCCCAGATTGCCAAGAAGATAAAAACAATCTGTTACCAGGTCCAAGAGCTGGTCACTGCACAGTCATTGTTGGCTCTCGCTTGTATATATGGAGTGGCAGAGACGGCTACAGGAAAGCTTGGAACAATCAAGTTTGTTGCAAAGATCTTTGGTACCTAGATACAGGTGAATGGGCTACCTAATACTTTCTGATAACATTATTGATGGGGATGAAAAACCTGGGCAAATTTAAATGCATTTGATTTTCTGTTTTCAAAACTTTAAAAAAAAAACAGAAGAAGAATTGCTCTGTTCTAAGACTCCACACTTAGGTTGGATTTGCACAATTCACAAGGCTGAAACATGGTTAGTTTGTTGTTTAGTGTTATGAGAACCCAGGCAGTTAAGTTAGTTCAGTAAACAAAAACTCACTTAATCATGGATTCTGTGATTGATTCCATTTTAGCATTTCAATTCTAACAATTCTAACATTCCTGTAATTTGAAGAACTAAAAAAATACTTCAAGCCTTCACCTTTTCTTTCCCACCTTCATTTTCTATTGTATCAAAACTGTCCAAACAAATGATATTGAGGAATTGTGTGCTTATAGTTTGGGTATCAGGAGGGAATCTCTGGGGAAGTTGAATTCCACACATCTTAAAGTTGTTGAGATTGAGATACATTCTCTTAGAGCTTTTGACGCCAGATATCACATAGGCTTGGACTACCTTTAGAATATTAATGTGTGTTCCTTCTCTTCATTTGAGAGCTTGCTAGAATAAATACTTGTTTTTCTGTAGCATGCTGTGTACATACATAAGTCTTGTATTATAAAATTTTAAATCTCCTTAAAAAGAGTTATATTTTATTATAATTGAATGCATTCTTCTCTTTTAAGAGAAACCACCAGCACCATCACAGGTACAGCTGATCAGAGCTACAACTAATTCATTTCAAGTTAAATGGGACGAAGTTCCTACTGTTGAAGGATACCTTCTTCAGCTAAATTTAGATATGCCAGCACCAGCTGCAGCTGACGTATCCTTTACTGTGGCACCTGAATCACAGTCATCCTGTGTGCAAGGTAAAGTAGCACATTTTCCAAAATTAAAGCAAGTTTATAAGTTACATGAGTAAATAGTTACATAACTCTTTTTTTTCTGGAATGTTTCTTGTTGATTGAGATTGATTCTGGCCTAATTTCTGTTCTAGGATCTTGCTTATTTGTTGGAGGTTAGTGCATGTAATCACATAACCTGTGTTCCTCGGGTCAGGTCATAGAAAGCAAAACATAAAGTGACAAAAGGACCCAATTTGTCTTACAAAGGTTGATTTTATAGTATACTTTTCAAATGTCATAAGAGACTTGAAGTCTTAACAACAAACCAAAATATTTCACAGATGGAAAGAAAGAATAATATGGATATTTTGAAGCAATCTGAACCTACAGGTTCTGAGCAATGCTCTTTCTTAAAGAAATTTAAAAAGTCAGAACTGCAAATCTTTAAAAATGTTATTGAAGCTTCAGTTCTACCCATCATATACATCAGACCTGGGCATTTTGGTTGTCCCTTTCTGGCCCATGTGAGGTCACTTGGAAGTAACAAAATAAAATGTAAATAGGAATGCTGGAGTGGCGGGAGAAGAAGACAAGTGTGCTCCTTTAATTGACTGGTGGGAGAAAGAGCTTTTCTTGCACCTGCAGAAGAAGAGCGGCAGCCAGGCTGAAGTGAGGCTCCGCATTCCCTCCTCCCTCAACACATTGGCACCAGCAGCAGAATTAAGTTCAACCTATTGGTTTGGCCCTCCATAACAGTCCCAGTTTCTAATGTGGCCCCTTGGGAAAATGAATTGCCCATCTAGATATACGTCAACAATAGAATCATAATTGATCAAGCTCCATGTTTTGGAGATGACTAATTTCTTTATCAATCTTCATTCCAGGATTGGGGATTGGCTGATTGTTTTTGGCAGAAAATTAAACAATGAAAGGCAAAATGAAGCCGGCTCCTTTTCTTTTAAACAATAATCTCCTGAGACAGTGAAAACTTCCTGATCCTGATTGATTATTTAGAATTAAACTTTCCCATACTTTACTGAATTGTGCCCACTATCTAGAGCAGGGGTCGCCAACCTTTTGGACCTCAGGGACCACCAAACTCATAATTTTAAATCCCAGGGACCACTAACCGGTTCTGTGGGTGTAACCTAATTTGTGGGTGTGGCTTAGTGGTCATGTGACTGGCTGGGCATGGCTTGCATGTAAATATTATAAATATATAAATATTGAATTTTTATTAAAAAAAAGAGCAACTTTTACCCAAAATCAGGCAAAGCAGGCAGGCAGATTGAGTTGCTCACAGAATCACAGATTCATTCAGAGATCTATCTATCTGCCATTGGCTAGCTCAGTCTGTCACATAAAATCTGCTTCCAAGCAAACTCATAAAATTTGCTAGCAAGCAAACTCACAAAATTAACTCACAACAAACCATGTATGTAAATATTGACTTTTTTTATTAAAAAAGAGGAATTTTACCCAAAATCAGGCAAAGCATGCAGGCAGATTGAGTTGCTCACAGAATCATTCAGTGATCTATCTGCCATTGGCTAGCTCAGTCTCTCAAATTTGCTTGCCGTGAGTCTGCACTGAATAATAGAACCTTCAGTCCTAAAGGAGGTTTGGCTATGCTTAAAAGCAGAGCTGAAGATCTAAAGACTAGCTAGAAAGCAAGAAATCCAACCATTTCCTGCTTCCTAGCTAATCTAAATCTCCTGGCACAGCAGAACAGATGATGGGTGGAAAAAGAAAAAATAGCAATTTAGCAGGCAAGTTTGCCTAGAGTGAGTGGGCGGGGAGGGTTCCCGCGGGCCATGTGGGCAGCGCAGCCTTGTGTTTCTGCGCAGCCTGGATTAATTGCTTTGTGGGAGTACTCTGGGAGTGAGATTTCTCTGCGGCCCACCCATGGGCCATGGCCCACCAGTTGGCAACCGCTGATGTAGAGTGATTCATCCATTAATGTCAGAATCTATGGGAGGGTCTTTTCTCCTTTAATTCCTTTAACTATTTGTACGTTTACATAGAATAGAATCCCCACTCCCCGTTTTCTTATGCAGCAAGTTCTAAAATTAATGAATATTGTCCTTCTTCCAGGAACTAAACTGGATCTCCACCCCAGAACTCTCAGTGCCTCAGGCAATGTAAGTTAACACGGTGAAGAATATTATTAGGATTTTTCCAAATAATAGGAATATGTGCTCAAAAAGTACAATGTAATTGATCTGTATGATTATTAGCAAACAAAACCCTGAGTACCTAGTAGCTGTTCTAAAGCCAAAATACTAATTTTTCCTAATCAAATCTCCCTAGGGTCGACTAACTAGGATAATTAAAATGCAAACATTACATATCCAAGGATTCGGCACTATGGTGATGCCACTCACACTGGTGCCCAACCAACCAGTCCATCACACCTTTTTTCCATTGCTTTCCTAAGCAACAGAGGCATCATCTGGTAGACCATCCCTGTGTATCTACCCTAAAGGCTTTTTAACCCTTGTTCCTCATCCCAAGTTAACATCTCTCGAGCTTCTTTTCATCCTACCTAAAGTAGCACCAAACCCAAGCTTGCCACCAGACCCACTGGAGAGATATTAGGCCTCTGAATCCAATTGCTAGATTGATTTTTTTAAAAGGAGTCACTATATCACCATTACGTATATCACTACCACATTAGAACTATACCTCAAGGACAACTTTTAGAATGGATTTGGGGGGCCCAATCCAAGACTTAGTAAGGGTAGAGGTTACACATCCTGCTTTGGGGAGCCAGGATTCCCCTCACATAGCAGCATATGGGAGGATGTAGCAATAGACACCAGTGTTCATGTGATTAGGGGCCAAAGGAGATATTCACCCCATCCTTCAGCAGAATGAGTTCAGAGCCTATGTTGACTCAACCCCAACACACACACAAAAGTTCAGATATTAGTTCCTACATAGACCATAAAATCTATAGAGACTATTGGATGAAAGATTCATAAAGCTGATGGTTTCCCACCTGAAGCAGAATCATGAGAGCGTAGATGCTGACAGTCATAATAAACATAGTAGTTACTACAGATTGGTGCTTGTCTTCTCTGTCTAGGTGCAAATTTCCATTTCAGAGGCTAAAGTCAAGATTCCAGAAACTGAAAATATGAGGAAAAACCATTCCATTTCCAAAGAGTCCAGTGTTCCTTTATGTTTGCCTGCTAGCAGTTTAGGTAAGCAGCACTAAGTTGAAACTTATTTGTCAAGTGTGGTTCCAGGTATATGTGGGATAAGAATGGATGTTAATTCTTTGATGTTTATTAATACATTTTTATTATTATTTTTGTCAATGGAAATAATGTTGAAGCAACAATGGCAGATAACATTTATCACAGAGATTTTGTCATGCCCCTGGTGGAGACTGATTCTGAGGGAGAGGAGGAACAGCCAACAGGGAGTGGAAGTGTGGCTCCAGAGGTTGTGGAGGAGGCTGGGGAAGGGCAGAGGCCGGCTGAGCAGTCAGAGGAGGACCCAGGCTCATCCCCTCTCCATCCTAGAGCATGCAGGGAGGAGAGGATCAGGGAAAAGCATGGTCTACTCGGGAGAAGAGGACCATGATCCTCTTCATGGGTTGCAAGTGTGAGATTTGCATAAGACTTTGGACCTGCGTGCTAGCAAACGCTGGAGAGAAGCATGTTTTTTCCTGGATGAGGTTTATCTTGGTTGGCGTTCTTCCATCAGACTGTACCTGGTTATCTTCTTGAAGTTTGTAAATTAATTATCCTGGTCTGTCGTGGAATTTTCTTCAGTGTGGTTTGTTTTTGGTTTTTGCTTCATTATCTGCTATTTGAGTTTGAACTGTATTTCTTTCATTTGGAATGTTATTTTGAAAATAGCTTAATCTCCAACTGCAACAGCTCCAACAGCAAACCTTCTTGCCACAGCTTGCATTGATGTGCCATTCTGGATGAGCTGCACTACCTGAGCCACTTGTGTGGGTTGTAAACTCCATCTCATGCTACCACTAGAGTGAAAGCACCGCCAGCATTCAAAAGTGACCAAACCATCAGCCAGAAAGCATAGGAACTGAGAAGTGGTCTGTGGTCACCACCTGCAGAACCACTCCTTTATTGGGGATGTCTTGCTAACTGCCTCTGCTTTCCACCTGTTGTCTATTCCATTTGCACAACAACATATGAAATTGATTGTCAATCAGTGTTGCTACTTAAGTGGACAGTTTGATTTCACAGAAGTGCGATTGACTTGGAGTTACATTGTGTTGTTTAAGTGTTCCCTTTATTTTTTTGAGCAGTGTATTTAGTGCAAGTAAACCTTCAAAAGGACATGTTATTAAGCCAGTTTGCTGCATGGACATCCCAGCTACATCCAAAGGAAAAGAATTTCTGTGGAAAACAAACATCTATTAATTTCTGTCTTGGGATCATTTGCTTTTCTCTCCTTTCAGATCCTCAGATGTCAGCAAATCTAAATGAATTACTTGACTTTGATTCAAGATCTTCCCAAGTAGATACTTCTACACCTAGCATAGCCTCCACCACACAAAATATAGTAACCCAGCAGGCTGTTAGAACCAACTCATCAAATGGGGCAAAAGATGAAACTTCATTATTATCAACAGGTAGTTCAAACCTGGAAGTCAGACTGTGTCACTTTTTGTATTTTGAATCTCATGATGGTTTTTTTCATGGTGGTTATAGAATTCAATTTCTTGAATAGTGTCAAGATGTACATATCTAACATTTTTAACCAAGCTATGGATAGGTTTTTATAACACATGCAGGCAGTGAATTTGCTTGAATCAATAAATAATATCGTAACCTTAATTCCTCATTTCATTCAGACTAAGAAAAGATGGTTGCCAGGTTTATACCAAATCAGGCTATTAAACCAGCTTTAAATTTTAGATGAATATTAATCTACAGTTTAAAGCTGGTTTAATGGCCTGGCTTGATATATTCATATATTTGAAATTCAGATGAAACAGGAAGTTAGGGTAGATAGAACTGTTTCCAATTTTTCACCATGTGTGCAGATATAAAGATTTGATTATGCATTGACTTATAAAGGAAAGCTGTGATCAAATGAGTTTTTAAAAATGCAAATAAGTGTAAGTGCTCCTGATGTAGGTGAGAGCATCTTAGGACTTAGATCAATCAAATAACCATAAGGCTGCCTTTTAGTTTGCCTTTTCTTTAACCAGATGTTCTATATTTTGAGATCTCTCAACAGAAACTGTTTAGTTCTTGGTGTAATAATTTTATTCAGCCTTTCCCTTATTGCTCTTTTATACCTTGTGTTTTTTTTAATTAAAATGTTAGATTTCCTTTGGTTTTCCTCTCAATTAGAAACAATATTTAATTTAGATTGAATGCAGATATTATCTTTTGCATTTTATAAATTTCCAATACATATGCAGTATATGAAATTATTATGTTGTATGGATGAAGTTTAGATATTTGAGCTACAAATAACTATGTTTTTAAAACTGCAGTTTTAAAAAACAATGGTGGAGATTTATTGCACGTCAGATCAATTATTTGTTTCCATATATTTAGTTTATATTTTGAATGAAGTTGGGCTATAAATATTCCAAGATTTAATTAAGTCACTGGCATCTAAAATTACAATTTAAACTGTTCACAATACTTAATATTATTAGGCGTATTAATATTCATTGTGTTATGTATTTTTAATTTGTTCCAAAAAATATAGGAGAAGGAATATGTTTTTTTAAAAAAAGAAAGGCTGGAATCGTACAATAGTGCCGAAGATACCACATGAAAATGTAGGATTTGGAATCTTGGTAGCCGATGATTACTTTTTAAAAAATGAAGCTATTTTTATTTAATTTTGCATGGTCTAAATTGAATTCAAGTTATTTTTTTCATTCAGCATACATTTTATCGGTTCTTGATAGTCATGCATTACAGGCAGTTTATCAGTTGCTTTCCAAGTAAAAAGCCAACATTTTGCTTCTTTCCTATACAACAGAAATGTTATGAAACTTTTCAGAGATAAAGAGATTTCCACCATTGATGGATTTCTTTTTGAAAGTTTTTGTACCTGTAGTAAAAGCATTTCAAATCTGTTTCTCCTAGTTAAAGAGTCTCCAGTGCCCTCAACTAGAGTCACAGTTAACCCTCTTGATTCAGCTATACAATCACCTGTAAGTACATGACACATTTTGAGCAGCAGATATTGCCAATAAGATTTATCACTTAGAGAATAATCGGTGTTTATGTTATCAGTTTCCTCAGTTCGTGGAAACTGAGTCAGTCATACCATTTGCAGACCTAACAACTTTTATTCCGTATGTGACTTAATTGCTCATTCTATAAAATGCATTAGTTTAACTTAGCATTGGCAACTATGACATCAAATTAATTTTAGTTGCTATCTTGACTTTTCTGCAGCATGGAGTTATATTAACAATATTTCACAGAGGGCTAGTATAAGTGTTGGATGTCTTTAAATACATTGGGAGTGGTGCGGTGGCCTAGAGGTGGAACTCTTGCCTCCCAATCAGGAGGCGAGAGCTCCACTGTGAGCTCGATCCTAGGTAGAGGCAGATATTTCTCTCTCTCGGCACACTGAGAATATATCTGCTGAACAAAACTCTGCATTGGCAACAGGAAGGGTATCCGGTCATTAAAACACTCTGCTAGCTCCATTCAGTTGCCCAGACTCCACCTAGCAAGGGATTATGGAGCCATTAAAAGAAGATGATGACTTGTTCAAACAGATTTACAACCACAATTGGGATTGGAATTTTCCATAAGTCGTTGCAGTTGTAGGTTGCGCCAGGCCTGCTTTTACAATAGTTTTTACAGTGGTTATTCAGTAAATCCAGCTCAATGGGTGTCCTTTGCTGGAAATAATCGTAAGCACATAGCCACAGGACACTGCAACTGGTCATGAGTGTCAGCTGTGTGCCCAAGTTATAGTCACATGACTATAAGTCATTTTACAGTTGTAAATGGAAGCATAGGTTGTATGTCACTTTTTCCGAGACCATTGTAACTCTAAGGGTCTTTAAATGAATGATCCTAAGTCAAGGAGTATCTGTGTAAATGGTAATTGACATGTAGTACTCTCACATAATCTGTTCTCCCCATCTAGCATTGGTAGGGCAGTCATTATAGGATGGTGGTGGGGGGAAGGTTTAATTCCTTCCACATTTAGGTCTCCAAGACTGAATTGTATATTCGACTCTTGATGTGGAGAACATCCATACTTTTAACACTGCCTGCTCTTTGAATTATAGAAAACTTCATCACCAAAGCAGAATTCAAGAGTGAGGACACAAGAACGAAAGTGGAATGATGTTGGGATTTTTCAAAGCAACACTGCATTAGTGAGCCAGTTTTATTTGCTGCAGGAAGAAAAGGTTCTTTCCAGCAAGAAGGTCTGTTGGATTTTCCTATTAAATAGTAACAACAAAATTAAGTAGGGACGTGATTGGATCTTGGAAGTTAAGATGAAAGAATTAGCATCTTCTATAAAGAACTAAACAGGCTTGTGCCCTTTGCCATTCTAGTTGTGGTTATGGATTTGTTGTATTTACATAGTCTCTTTCTGTCACCAGTTCATTTTAAGAACTTTTCCTCTTTCAATTTGGGAACCCCTTTTTTTTTTTGTTAAGGCAGAAAGTTGCATAGGCTTTTATAAAAGCAAAATTCAGTATCATTTATTTTGATTAACATTAAAAATCTTTAGTATGATTGTCTTCCAAGCACATGTTTAACAATTTCAGTTTGATAACAACTTTTAGATATTTATGGAAACCACAACCAAGATGTTCAGTGGCATGTTTTACATTTGGGTTTTAAGTTATATACGTACTTTAATCATTGGATAGTATTCTCAAATTAAGCAAAGATAAATCTAATTTGCCAAGGTGAGAAAAGGTGTATCATGTTCCACTCTCCTATTTGCATCAGTGGATCTTAAAAACATTCAAAGTTGTTTTTGCTTAATAGGCAGCTGTGCTGGAAAGCTCTTCCTAATAGGAAATTACTATTAATCCTCCCAGTCTTCCTTTCACCCATCTCTTCCCACTTATGACTGTATGACTGCCCTGTTGCTTGTATCCTAACAATGTTTATTGACTGTTTCTTAATATGATTTGATTACTTAATGTACCTATGACTATTATTGAGCATTGTACCTTATGATTCTTCACAAATGTATCTTTTCTTTTATGTACACTGAGAGCATATGCACCAAGACACATATATTCCTTGTGTGTCCAATTACATGTGGCCAATAAATTATTCTATTCAATTCTAAATTCAGCCTAGAACATACAGGAGTCTTTAGGACCTGTGTTTTAAAAAGAGCAAATAATTATTTATTTCTTTTCATGTTATTTATGTTTAGGGAGACAATGCAGATATTCCAAATGCCAGTTTATTTAAGAAACAGGATCTCGCTCCTGGCACTTTATACAAGTTCAGGGTTGCTGCAATTAATGGATGCGGTGTAGGGCCTTTCAGCAAAATCAGTGAATTTAAGACTTGCATCCCTGGATTTCCCGGAGCACCTTCAATTGTCAAAATTAGCAAGGTAATAATTCTTCCTCCTTTCCTCCTCCTCCTGTGTGTGTAAATCTGAATGGGAATTTTAACATTCATGGAAGGCTTACAGAAATGAATGTTCTTTGGAAAAGCCAGCAATGGTAAAATATGGCATTCTGAACAAAGTAAGTAATTTTGAGTTGACCAAAGCAAATAAACAACAATAATGGAAAAATCTTGCTGTTAAATCCAAGATTGGATCTTGGAGCAACCTTAGTCATGATGTAACTTCTATTTTCATATTTAGAACCTTAAGATATATATAGTACATTATAGTAACTGGAGATATAACTGAAACACTGTATGAAACCCTTATAATCTCAACAGACACATATGTGTTTTGAAGGACAATATTTAATCCCGGATTGGCATATCATGCGAAGCCTGTTTTATTGAACCATGTTTTATTGAATAAACCATCAATTGCTCTGTTCCCAGGTCACACTAAGTCAGAAATGCAGTACATTTGAGATCTTGAACTGAATTTTCACAACGTTTTCACAATCCAGAAAGGAACATTATGGCTCAGTACAATGTATGAGCTGGATAGTGCCTCTTGGGCTTTTTCTTAAACAGCTGACTAATCTGCAGATACCTGAAATTAGAGAACAAAACTACAGTTTTTCTCTCTGGAATTGTAAAAGGGAGTTTTTGCTTCTTCCTTAGAGTGCAGACTGTATTCATCTTTCATGGGAGCCTCCAGTTTCCCCTTCAGGAAATATCTTGGAATATTCCGCTTATTTGGCAATAAGAACCACCCAGCTTCATGAAAATCCTAATCAACTTATGTTCATGAAAATTTATTGTGGCCTTAAGACCTCGTGTACAGTGACTGCTGCCCAGCTTGCAAATGCTCACGTTGATCATACATCGAAGCCGGCCATTGTGTTCAGGATTTCGGCCAAGAATGAGAGGGGATACGGACCAGCCACACAGGTTCGATGGCTCCAAGGTAAAATGAGTGATGGAACCAAATCTTTCTCAGTACAGTTAGTCCTCAAAGTATGGCCACAATTGAGCCCAGAATGTATGTTGCTAAGTGAGAAATTTGTTAAGTGAATTCTGCCCCATTTTACAAATTTTCATGCCACATTTGTTAAGTGAATCACTGCAGTCATTAAATTTAGTGACATAGTTGTAAAGTGAATCTGGCTTCCCCATTGATTTTGCTTGTCAGAAGGCCGCCAGAGGTGACGGTGTGACCCTGGAACACTGTAGCCGTCCTAAATATGAACCAGTTGTCAAATATCTGAAGGTAAATCACGTGACCATGGGCGTGCTGCAGTGGTCATAAATGTGAAACATGTCACTTTTTTCAGTGCCGTTGTAACTTTGAACGGTCACTAAATGAAGTAAACCGAGGACTATTGAAATATGTGAAAAAATATTTTTCAAGAATATACTTGACAAATTTTGAGATTTAGCTTTATATAATGTAGCTTCAGTAGCCCTGACAATATTTCTTTGTTCAGTTAACCAACAAATCAAATAAGTCTGCATCAAGTCTCCATGTAGCAAGTCTGCTAATACAATTTGAGTGGGTACAGTTGTGTCTCTTTGACTACCAGCAGTTAGATAACAGATAATCAGAGTTGGAAGGGACCTTGTAGGTCATCTAGTCCAACCCCCCGCCCAAGCGGGAGACCCTACACCATTTCTGACAAATGGTAGTCCAATCTCTTCTTGAAAGTCTCAAGTGATGGCGCTCCCACAATTTTTGAGGGCAAGCTGTTCCATTGGTTGATTGTTCTCACTGTCAGAAAGTTTCTCCTTATTTCCAGGTTAAATCTCTCCTTGTTCAGTTTCCATCCATTATTCCTTGTCTGGCCTTCGGGTGCTTTAGGAAATAGCTTGGCCCCCTCCTCTCTGTGGCAGCCCCTCAAATATTGGAAGACCGCTATCATGTCTCCCCTGATCCTTCTTTTTACTAGACTAGCCATGCCCAGTTCCTGCAACTGTTCGTTGTATGTTTTCGTCTCCAGTCCCCTAATCATCCTGGTTGCTCTTCTCTGTACTTTTTCTAGAGTTTCAACATGAACAAAACTGGATGCAGTACTCTAGGTGTGGTCTTACTAAGGCTTTATAGAGTGTTATTAGTACCTCACTTCATCTTGATTGTATCCCTCTGTTAATGCAATTTAGGATTGCATTAGCTTTTTTGGCTGCTGCTGCACACTGCTGGCTCATATTTAGCTGGTTGTTCACTAAGACTCCAAGATCCCTCTCACAATAGTTACTGCTATTGAGCCTGGTTTCACCCAGTCTGCATGTTGCCTCCTCTTGTTCAGGGAATTCTAGGATTGATAGATAGCATAACTTGAAGAACTCTTAGTTATCAACCTCATTCCTTGTTAAAAAAAAAAACACTTTTAAAACTTCTGTTGTATGGAGAATAATGTCATCTATACACGGCTTCTTGGGGCTCTAGAACACCCCCCTCATGAGGAAAGATTATAGCAGCATTTTCATCTGGAATATTGATAGGCAACAGGAGGCACTACAAAAATACATAAGCTATGTATGCTTAAGTTGATAAAAGAAATACTTTTTTATCATTCATGAACCTCATATTTTATTTTAGTGGATGTGCATGTGGCAGTATTGGCATTTACGTAAATAATGAGATAAAATGTAATATTTCATCCTTTCTCTTGGGTTTCAGGAGTATCCATTAAAACTAAAGGTAGGCAAATTCAGAAATGATGAACAGTATTTCTCTACAGGTGGTTTTGAAAGTAAATTGGCAACAACCATAAATCACAATCTCTGCCTCAGAGAATGCACCTTGAATGCTAACTACTAGAAAGTTGGAAAGTGACAGAAGTACCCTTGGATTGATCATCACTTTATGAATTTTATCTTAATTGCTGATGTATAATTCATATATACGAACCCCATATGAAATATTAGATTTAGAAGGAGAATGCAGAACCTGCTCTCCAGTCTCCAATAGATGATTGGCATTTTTCTGTCCTTGGCCTCCTTTTAGTAACTTGTAACTCCAAGGCTATGAATAATTGCTGAAAGTCCATGGTAGAGTGTCCCATCATTCGGAGATTAAAAACAAACAAACTACGATTTGAATCCTTAAGTCAGCTTAACATATATTATAAACAAAAAAAATCCCTCTCTAAGTACCAAACGTTATGTTTCTAGCCATGCATATAATGTACTGTAACTGGCCATTTTTTATAGTTGCTCTACTATCACAATTTTTAGCCCTGCCCAAAAAAGTCATATGTGGCCCATAACTACTGAAAGTTTCATATACCTGTTTTATTCAAAGTATATAGCATCAGTGAACAATTCGGTATAGAATGTTTCACTTGGATAGTCAAGAGTAAAGGCAGTTCTCAGGTTATAAAAACTTTTTACAGAAAGTTCTGAATGCTTGAAGATGTAACAAAACTTTCTCTTTTCTTACAGAAATGAAAACATCAAGCTCAAAATAGAAGCAGGATATTACACTGCGGATTATGAATTGGCAGTTAATACTCTTGAAGTTTGATGAATCTTCCAAATATTTCATTTTATGCCAGCTTGAGATCAGCATGGTACAGTCTTGAAAAACTGGGCCTATAGTGATCACATTTTTGGTAGTATTTTATCCAGCATGGTCACTGGCTACTTTCCAGAAGTAATCATCTGAATTTTTGGAGAGTCTTCCTTATAACATCTCCTAACACAGAGATCCCCAGTCGTGTTAGCTTTCAACATAGGAAAGGGCCATAGCTCAATGATTTGAGCATGTGCCTTGCATGTGAAAGGTGCCAAGGGTAAATCTCTGGCTAGTTCAGCTGGGGTTGAGAAAAGCCCTGTCTGAAAGCTCAGAGAATTGCTCCTGATTAACATAGACAATCTTGAGTTAGATTATGGTTTGAATAAGGCTTTTTGTGTTCCTAAACATAGATGCTCAATTACTGTTTAAATTTCATTAAATTTAAAAAGCAAGTTTGTGATGTGTTTTGAAAATAGTTTAAAGAGAAATTTACCAGAGGAGGAGGAAAAATAATGAGTTTTAAGTAATTTTATTGATGAGATGGGAGGCATATAAAATACACAAATACTAATTTCTCTTTAAATTCTTTTCAGGACAGATTTATAAATGTTTAAAATAGAACTCAGAGGTTTGCCTGAGTGAGCCCCCAAAAACTTTGCTCGTGTTCAGATCCTCGTGGATGATGGTCTGTAAAACTATTGTAGAATGAGCTGTTTGAAGACTCCCATAAATATATAGCATCAGAGATGCTGAAAGTGGATTGTTTGGTTTTCAACAGCATAATAATGGCCTTTTTATCATTAATATTGGTTAATTGAGTCTTTTACAATAGTAACTATTTCAGAGAAAAGTGATTTGTCTTAGGCTTTTATTAGTTCATTTTTGTAGAGTAGGGCTGCTTTTAATATAGAGCTTTATTCATGGGTATGAGTCTCGTCAACCTTATCAAAAAAAAATTAGGAAACAAGACAATATGCATCCTTGTCAAACAAGAGTTGTTTCCCTACCTAATTACTCACATGTTTTCAAAACTATTTGTGGGAATGACTTGGAGGGAATGAAAGCCATCATATAAAAAGTATCTGTAGAATGAACTATAGATTTATGCTGAGTGAACTTCCAGTGAAAAGTTAAAAGACTGTTAAGTTAACATGATGGCCAGCCTAAGAATGAAAAGCAGCTTCGACAAGCAGAGGCTAAAGTCAGTTACTATTGTGGTTCACCACAATCAACTGGTTTCATTCATTCATTAAAAGCTGCAGTTGTGCAGAATCTACAGGCCCACACAGCTCTGTCGCCCCTATTTCTATAGCATCAAGATACAGTGCTTACCAAATTTCAGCATTGTTAATTTCTGACTGCATTTTTTTCTGGTTGTTTATAAAGATAAGGGCTAGAACTAGTGCTTTTAACACCTTCTTACCTGCTACCTGAGAAGCAAATTGAAAATGTCTCCATTCATTCTCTGGCAGTTTCACTGTCAAGATTTCTCTGTCTTCTAGTATCCACACAAGAAAAATGCAACCCAGGCTGCAAAACACTGGCCTGTGCAATGGCTATAAATCCCATTGAGCTGAGTAGAGCTTATTTCTGAACAGTTGTGCATAAAGAATTTTTCATAATACTCAGATTAATGGCGTAATTTAGGAATGAAGGCAAAGCTGATGTGATGCCATAGGTCAGTACAGGTCTTCCAGCAAACTCTGGCCATTTTGGCTTATTACAGTGACATTATAAGATAGAACCCTAAAGATAAACATCCAATGCAGTCCCCAAAGCATGACAAATCACAAGTGAGTATGTAGATGATGCTCCTGTTCCATGTGAATTTGATATATATGCAGATTTGTTTTCCTATGGCTTATATTTTGTATCCATGTTTAGTGTAACAAAGATACTTTTGTTTACAGTAACTTAAAATGTATAGAATATTTTAATATATTCATTTTTGTAAAGATTTTTCTAGTGTTTACAAACACATATTCTAATCTTTGAGAATATCCTAATATGCAAATTGCTAAACTAGTCACTTCTGTTATGAAAAGCAAACTCTGTGTAAATGCACTACTATTAATTTCTCACGAGCATAGAAATGTTAAAATCTGTAGAAAGTTTGAACATGTACAAAAGTACTCCATGATGAATGCATCACATACCCACAAAAAAAAAAAAAGAAGAAGGAAGAAGAAAGGGAAAGAATCCTACCCTTTCTTTTGGCATAATCATGCTATTTTGCACTAGTAAGAATTGTAACATTTTTGTGTTGCTTCCAGAAACTAACTGTATTGGTCTAAAGTTAAAGCAGATTTGCACATCTTTGCATTGCTTTTCTGACAAAAGTTTTTCATGAGTTTCCTCAAAGGCTTGGGGTTTTATTTTGCTAATTGCCTTAGTTTCCTATCATCACATTGGACTTCTGTAACATTTTTATCTTAATCATGTTATGACTAATGTGCCAGATGCTTCATTTCCCCTTCACAGTTTTTCTACACGAGACAGCAAAATAGTGCAAGTGCACCAAAAAGTAATAATCTAGACTTAAGTTCAGAATGCCAGTGTGCACTTTTATCTACCACCTTATGTAGCAAAAATGTGTATGAAGCACTTACAAGGAATGTTAATCTATTCCTAAGCACACAAGTGTATCAAATAGAGGCATTTAGATGCGATTTTGTACATGAATAATTGTTTATCATATTATAGCATAAAGTGGCTAAATTGTGCCAGTATATTATGTAGGTGGTAAATAGAGCTTAATGATGCATCCCACAGGGATATTTCTATGAACAGTAGTGCTTTTTACATTAATTTGTATGGACCTTATACAGGTTCCTGTGGATTGCATCCTTTGGCATCTAAATAAAATGATTTTTTTTAAAAAAATAATCTCTATTTTGAAACCTGATTTAGTGCATATGTGCAATAGAATGAGTATTTTGCACTTCAGTTTTCCATCAATGCATAAGAATTAAGATGGGAATCACTTGATCTGCAAGGATCAGTTTTAAAGTGGATTATGGTAATACTAATGCTTTACTATCATTCCATGTTCACAGTTACAAAACATCTTTGAGATGTTGTAACCCATTTTTAGGTAGAGAAACTGGGAGAAATTCATTTGAAGAAAGTCTGTTTTGGCTTAGTTCCTAATAAACCATGAGATGGTTGGATGTATGAATTACTGCTTATGATATATGAATTAAGTCACTGTGATTTGCATGGTTTATGGCTTAATATAAAACAAACCATTACAGCTTCCACAAAATGGCTTAGCATAATCCCAGTGAATTCATGGTTTGGATAGAATTAGGATCCAACTCCCCCAATTTTATCTCCAATACTTATTAATAACTTCTGGAGATATTTGAATAACAGTGACAAAAAGTTGGATGGATGGGAACAGGGGGTTTGTAACCTCAGATGTGTGGGGACTGAAAGTTCCAGAATAGTGGCTAAAAGCTCTAGTCCTAACAAATCAGGAGAGAGGCAGGTGGAGAAAGCCACCCTAAGATAGTAGAATTCTAAAATTTTACAATAATCATACTGATGCAGCACAATCTGTAATGCCATTAAAAAAACCTACAGTGGTCTATTTTTTAAAAAGCTTTTTTGAATTGTTCATAAATTAAGTAGCACTTTTTACTGGCTACTCTCTAAGAAGGAATTAGATTAGAATTCTTTATTGGCCAAGTGTGATTTGACACACAAGGAATTTATCTTGGTGCAAATGCTCTCAGTGTACATAAAAGAAATGATACATTAGTCAAGAGTCAAGAATCATAAGGTACAACACTTAATGATAGTCGTAGGGTACAAAAAGCAATCAAATCATACTAGGAACAAGTTCCATCAACAAACTTTTGTGTATGTTAGTCAGCTGACAGTAACTTTGCTTACTGAGTTTTTTCCTGAGACAAATATTGGCAGTGGGATATAAAGAGGGTGGGATGGGATGTCAGTTATACTACCTATACAACACTGTCTATTTGTGGCATAATAATACAGATACTCAGAGTGAAACCAACATACTCTTTCATGCACCTTATGATATGTACCTTTTTCTAAGGCAAGTACGTAACAACACGCCAGAGAAAATGTATGTTACAGTCATACAATTCTGGTTGCTCTTAGCAATTAAAAATCACTCAAGCTAACATTAGATTTTTTAAACTAGTACTGTGAAATGGAAACTTCAGAAATCTATAAATACATTCTTCAAAGTTGAAGGTAGTATTTCCTGAGAAGGTCCATTTTAGATGCTAGAATTTAAGCTCTTCCTTGAATTGTCATAAGAAATGTGCTTCCTTTCACTTTACCTGCCACATACTTCCAACTCTGGATTGAATCCAGATAGCCCAGTGGTCACAGGGTCAAAGAGAAGTACCTTTAAGAACTCACTCAACGTAGTTGTAGTGTGTTGTTTTGTATAACTTTTTTGAATTAGGAGGCCTACTGTGACAATGTAAGAATTATATGGCTATTAATAACTTTTTGATTGTAGATACCTTACTTAACAATATGATCTGTTGAGTATATCTGTGAGTATTTTTGCACTTTTGAGTTCATATATTCCTGCACTTGTTTTAAGAGTATGTCATGATTACCAAAGGTAAAATTGTGGTGTTAATTCAGACCTGAGATTCAGTGTACATGTGTTTATGCCAATAGGCTATTATGATTTAACCACAATTCAGCAGTTTCCCATATACGGAACTAGATTAGTAACAAGTGTGTAATTTCTTTAGTAGCCTCACCCATACAATGTCTAGCTATTTTTGCAGCCTGCTTCTCTTAATAGCACTTAAAATGTATTTCATCCAACTATAAAGTTATATTTGAAGCATATTCTGTTTAAGAAGTATCAATATATTTGGATAAATGGGTCAACCTAAGTTCATTTAAAATATATATAAAATCAGACTGTTTGGGAAACTGGTTGTTGTTTTGTTGGGGTTTTTTTTTGCTTGCCTTTGTAAATATATGTATAACATCTTGTATAAATTAGTCCATCCTGTTCCAATTTCAATAATAGACTTAGTATCAATCTTTATAAATGTAAGTCTGTTGCTATTTATTCCTTACTTCATCAGTTCAACTTCAGTTTTGTGACATGGCGTGTGAATAAAAATTTGGATGGTTCAGAAGGTCATATATGTATTTAATAAGCTGATACAAATAAGCCTTTTGCCTATGTATAGGGATTGCAGTTTCAAATAACTGCTTACCAGTTTTAGAATAAAATCGAAGTATGGAAATCAGCTTTATGGTTTCATACACTGGTTTGTTCTAAAACGTATACTCATATGCTGGGTTTGGTAAAATGGAATACACCCATTGACATTTTCCCCATTGACCTATTGAGTAAAGTACAGTACTTAGTGTTGTAAAAATGCTGAGTATAATTATTCAGTAAGATATATAAGAATGAGGAAAAATAGCTCATATTGTCTGTTTACTAAAGTAATGTGACCATCTGAATGCAGCCATTGTTATGTATGATTTATATAGCAATATTTGACCATAATTTTGAAGTAGGCTGAACCAGTAAATCAGTCTTTAACAAAAATAACACCAGTTAACTGGAATTCTGAAGTGATGGTTAAAGCCAGCTATTTATGGTCTTATGATCTGCAGCTGAAATGTCTTGAGAGAAATCCAATATTTTCTATAATAAAAGTAGCATTGTTATTTGTAATAAAATGATTTGTCCTAATGTTTTTTTAAAACCTGTGGTATTAGTTAAATCAATGCAGCTTTCAATGGTAATAATTACATTTAGAAATAAACATTTCATATATTCGCATTGCAGACTTTAGTGTTCTAAGAAGCTAAATCTTGCACTATGTTATTTTGGCTTTAGTGCAAGGGAAAACAAGGTAAGATATGTGGGGTTGATTTTTAAGTGTAATAAAACTTTGATTATTTGTCTGAATCATGTGAACAAATCTAATTAAGCTACTGTGGATAGAGATCCTGATAGTTATTTTTATCACAAAGCCCATGTTTATCTATAGAACCAATAAAATGCTAAAGATTTCCTGCCCTTCTAAGAATTCAAGGGAGTATAATTTTTCTCCCTTTACCACCTTGTGAAGTAAATTGAGCTGAAAGTAACTGGCTCAAAATAATCAAGTGGTTTCTGCTGCTACAAGTGGATTTGCATCTTCACTGTCTTAAAAACTGCCCTTCAAATTCATATATGCAAGCTTGTTTATCAAAAGTTACTTGTGGTAGCTTCATAAATGTGTCTCTTTACTGGGTTGCTACACTTTAATTTCATTTAAGACTTGTTTTGCACAATCCAATAACTTAAGCTTTATTGAAAGGTAATCATTCACCTTTTTTCCAAATCCCTTCATCAGTTTGATTTCATATGAGGTGAATCATAAGTTAATTCTGATCATAACATTGACAGCCAAGTCAAAAAAAAAAACACCTTTCTAGAAAATTAATCTGGCAATTTGCATTCCAAGTTTCCAGCAGCTTTTCAGATTCTCACAACTAATTATTTTTATTGCACCATATCTACAGCTTTCTGAAAACAAAAATTCTTATTAATTTTCCTTAACCTGTTGCAAATGAGATGCTTTCTCTGTTGGTGCTATTTTTTTTAAGAAATCATCTTGGATTATATCCCAAAAGTGCTTTTTCAGGAGGCAACTGGACCCATCCTTCCATTCCCCGTTATCCTGTCAGAACTGAAAAAGTTTCTTGGATGAGAAGTGAAACGTCTTCAAAGTAATAACGAAGTCCAGTTGCCTCCTGAAAAAGCACCCTTGGGACAACCATGACCTGGATGACCAAGAATCTCCACAGACATCTTGGACTATGTAGCTTCTGAGCAAAAATTATGTGAGGTTTGTTTTTTTCCAATGTTAAATGCTACTGGAATGTGTTAGCTGAGTGTGTTCCGACGATTTTTGCCATCATGATTTAAAATAGAGACCAGTTTCCATGGAGGGATGGGCATCAGATTTTCACATTTCTCTCTTCATGGTTTAGAAATCAGCAGCTGTTTTGCTTTGTTGTCCGATATTGTGCAGGACAAAGCTTTGCTGATCAGCAATTTTATTCTTAAATTCTCAGTGGCATCTGTTCACTTTTATCATTCTACAAATCACAATATTTTAAGGTATCTTAAAATTTATTGCAGCAACAGGAAACAGCCAAATCGATGTTCAGACCTTCCATTTACATCCCTGGAAATACATGTGTCCCTCTTTACTTCCACAGTAATTTAAGATTGGAGTTGCCACACATCATGACTATGAAGATGTTAAAGAGGTAATCTGACAATAAAAATACCATTCAAACAGAATCTGGTTTCTTTGGAGAGAAATCATAAATTAAAAGGAATTTATTTCAAAAGTAGCAAGATGAATATCCCTAGTTCAAAGATCAACCAAAAATAACCTTTTACTACATATACTTCTAATTGTTGCAAAACAGGGACTGCACTACCAGATACAGTTAACACTGATACTGGGTACCAGACAATCCACAGAACTAATTCTGCATACAAGACAACAGTTTGTGACAAACCCACCTTCATTCTTTTACAGCTTGTGCAAAATAGTTCCCAGGGACCATGACCCAAGGTTATAATGCTAGGATCCAAAGATTGGTTACTTCTAGATTCCCATTATTTAAAGTATTATATTAAAAGTACTGGGAGCACTTATTTTGAACTGTGGGCATTTGAGGAAATTCAAGTTAAATATTAATAAATATTTAATTCAACTCATGCAAGACAGATACAAAACAAAAGGTCATCTCAATTTTTATAATAAAGGCAACTTGCATTCAAAATGAACTGTACCCTTATGTTTTATTCAAAGGGTAAACGTGAATTAAACCCAGCTGTTTACTTGAATTACAAAAGTAACATGATTCAATATGAAAATAAGAAACTGTCTACAAATCTCTTGACAGTAGTAAATTGCAATATACAATGCATATAGGAGTTATACAGAGCAACAAACTCTTGTACAAAACAAAAAAAATATTTTAATACCTTTAAAATCCAATTTCTTTTAAAATCACTCATGAAAAAAGGTTTGAATCAGAGTTCACATCTCAATTAGTGAAGCCTCAGGAAGCTACATTACAACTATTGAATATACAAAGTGACCTTTCTTCACTAGCCAATTCATATTCAAGTTCTCTTTCCTTTAGCAATCCTTGTTCATATTTACTACGTCTCTAAAGCCTTCTCCAAGTCATGAGAACTGAATTTGCTGAACACCAGGAATCTAGGACATAGAAAACAAATACACATTAATTTCAAAAATCAATCCAGAAACACATTATGAGATCTATTGTAGTGATCTTAGCAATAACCACTTTTGCATTGTACTGATACCAAAATGGAAATATTTAACAGGAATTAAAGGTGGGGGGGAGGAAATGCTGTACCTGTTGATAGGATGTTGTATAAACCATGACATTTTGTTGTTGGCCATCTGTGGTTATCAAACCTGCTGGCAACTGGTTAGCTACATGAGAAAAATAGCATTGTTAGAAAATTTCTGCTCATGTAAAATTAAATACCAAATCCAAGTTAAATATCTGCTATTAAACAGTATCAAATCTGATCTTTCACTAATATGTACTCAAACTGAAACCTGATAGTACCAGATGAATGTTAGACCTTCCTAACAAGAAATTGAGAGTTCAACTGTAAACTAATTTGGAAGATAAAAATACACAGTAGTATGAATAAAAACATTAATATATTAACTGTCTCATCTTACAGTTGGAAGTCAGATTGATTCTTTACAGTGCATATTAATATTTTCAGTTTTTTAAAGCACGACTGTTTTAAAGAACATTGATCGCTGTACTTTAATGGGAATGCGTGCGCAAAGGTTCTCCATCCGCTTTTATACTTGTTTGTCTATGGCAAATATTTTTTTAATAACACAGACACAAAACAAAACAAATAAAAACCTGATCAGCTCAACAGGGCAAATTCCATCTAATGCAGGGGTGTCAAACTGGCGGCCCACAGGCTGGATGCATCAACGCCCACCCCAGATCCACAAATAGGGAAACGTCACAAAATGTCACGTGACGGCAATGTGGTGCCGCGGGTTTGACACTCATGATCTAATGCAAAACAGCATGGTTTCAAATATACAGGTCTACTAACTTCAGTCATTAAGTTTCACATACTTGCTACTGCATGTTCTATCCTCCACCAATCTACTCCCAAAGTTTCTCTGAGCATTTAAAAATTCTAATAAAATACAGGTTAAAATTGCCCACTTATGACAACTGAACTCAAAAATTCTGTTGCTAAGTGAGGCATTTGTTAAGTGAATTTTGCCCCATTTTACGACCTTTCTTGCCATGTTAAGTGAATCACTGCAGTAATTAAGTTAGTAATATAGTTAAGTGCATCTGGCTTCCCCATTGACTGCTTGTCAGGAGGTCGCAAAACCCTGATCACATGACCCTGGGACACTACAACCATAAAAAATGAGTCAATTGCAAAGTATCTGAATTTTGATCATTGGGATGCCACAACAGTCGTTTGAAAAATGGTCATAAATCACTTTTTTCAGTACCATTGTAACTTCAAACGTTCACTAAACGAACTAGTCAAGGGCTACTTGAATATGTTTGTATTGCAGGAGAGACAGAGCATGTTATTAAAAATTAGACACCTATTTTTTATGTTGTTTATATAAAGATCTCTGCCTTACTATCAAATATTCTTCCTCTCATTCAGGAGGATAACTTGACCTTCAGACGAACCTTTTTGGGCAACAGGGAGAGAGGAAAGTAAGCTTCTATCAGCAATGCCTACGCATGCTTTGATTTGCATTCAAACGATCCTCTAATCAGTATAAGGATTTTTGTTAAACAGTCATTCAATACTTGGAATATAATTCAGTGAAGAAAACAACTGCAATTAATGCAATTCTGTTGTGATAAAGTTTTATCAGAGAATTCCTCCTTTCCTGCCTGATTAGGTTTTCTACTTTCTAACTTCCAGAAGTATGTACAATTAATAATTATCTTCAGGCACTCAAAAGCATCTGTATTCTACTGGAAAAAATGCAGAGCTCAAAACTAGTGGAAGATATTTAATTATAAGCTCAATGAACTCTATGCAAGAGACACACACCTGTTACCAAAATGCAGAGAATGCTTTAAAAATGTCTTTACAATGGGATCTTTCTTGTGAGACATCAGAACTCTGCATAGTTTAAACATAACCCATTTTGTTTTCTACAGAAACTTTTATTAAAACAATTCTGTCTTACAATAAGAATGCATGGTTAGTTTTAGGTAAATTACACCACTATTACTGTATATCAAGTTTCAGGTAAACAATCATGTATTTCAAATTAATTTTCAATTTAATTTACATAGTAGTATCATGAGATTCTCTGAATATGGACAGGATATAACTATTTCAAATAAATAAAAATATTGACGAGATCAAAGACTACTACTTGTGAATTAGGGCTATTAGAAAAAATATCATTGTTTCTATATGCTTCAATAAATAATCCACCGGCAGCAGCAGAATTGCTTTGTCTCTGTGTTTTCATTAAGGAATACCGGTAAATCTTCATGCATCAAAATATGTTATACTGTGACATATAATTTTGAATGGAAATTCTCCTCAGTGGTAAATCATTTATAGTGATGACAACACGTAAAGTACGTCAACATGAAATCCTGCTCAAAAATTGTATAACTCAATATGATTCTTAGTTCATTTAGTTTCAAATTTGTTTTCAAGGATTCATGAACAAACTACCAATAATATTTGGCTTGTGTCCATTTGTTCATTGAACTGTTCAAGATTACAGCAGTGCTGAAGAAATGGATGTACAACCAATCCTCAAAGTTCTGGTACTGCAGCTTCTCTGCAATCACTTGATCACACCTGGCTCACAATTATAACATTGCAGGGAGCCACGGTCACGTGATTGCCATTTGCAACCTTCCCTGCCAGCTTCCCACAAGCAAAGTGATAATGTGAAAATTGGAAGGGAAGGTCACAGATGATTCCAGTCCTGGCCATCCTGGACTTATGAGCAGCCTGTGCTGGGTCTCCCCCTCTACCCATGCTACTTACCTGGGACTCCTGCCACTTTCATCTTAATGATCTGTGGAACTTAGAATTATTATGGCAGTTGGAAATGATAGCTGGGATTGCTATCACTAAATGATGAAGTCACATGACTTTGCGCTAACCTAAGGACTACTTACATGTAGCATCAATGTTTTATGACTGTATGTACTTTGCCATTAAACTGTCACCTAAATACTGGCTATAATTCAATACAATTAACAAGTCTATTTAACTGTATATATCAAGCAACAATTATCACACCTGCACCAGTCACTATTAGTGATACAGTACTTACTAAATGCTTCCTCTGTGAGCTCCTCACTAAGGCCGTCTGCTGTGGTAACTGTTCCACCAATGCCTTTTTCTCCCTTCATTGCCTTGAAAAACAGTAATGTTTTACATATAACTCATACATTTCAGCAATTTACAATACAATTGAATAAGTTGGAAATCTCTCTTTCTCTCTTGTACAAAAGACCTATTAGGAGCCTGTTGATTTTGCTTTACCACTGATCATATTAAATATTCATAATAGATTTTCTGGCTAAGCTTCTTGGACAAAATGGCAAATTAGGCAGATGTTTTGAAGAATTTTCCCATACTACTGCCAGCTCAGTCTGTCTTAACCAGAGGCTGATGTGAAGTTCTGTCTTCCAGCTTGCTATGAATAGCTATTTACAGAAACTGCGACAATAAGCACCATCTCCCTGATGCTTATTTATCAGTTCTGCCCCACTCTGTTCATTCTTATCACTATGATAAACAAAGTAGAAGTAAAACAGATGTGAAGGCCACAAAAGCCCAGATCCCTCCACAACACAACAATGCAAATAAGAGGGGAAGAGAAGAAAGGTTGTTTGTGTCAAAATTTATATACTTTGATTTTGTGGAGATTTTTATCCATTTTCTTCTCAGGACCTAACACATTAAATTATACAATGTTAATTGCAATTGTTGATTAACCCAAATCCATGAGATATGAACAATAGGAATATTTTTTTCTACTATACATTTATACACTTGTATAGTAAAGGGAAATCTTTACAAAACACTACAGTACAGGTAAAAACTGATTCTCTTCCAATAGTAACACATACAAATTATCCAGCTGTCTTTCCTGTTATATACAACTATATTTAAACCTACAATGAAACAGTTGCAAATAGAATTACAAACCTCTCTAAACTTCTGCAGATACAATTTCAAAGGTTCAACATAGCTATCAAACCCCAGAGTTGACATAGCAAAGAGAATATCTTCTCCATTTATTGTCTTCCGTTTCTCTTGATGACACCTCTCGCTTGCTTCTGATGTAATAAAACTGATGAATTCACTGACACACTCCTGCACACATTCTTTCGCATCTTTAGCAATCTAAAATATACATAATATGCATTAAAATATTTTTAAATTACCATTTTTCCAAAGAGATAAACATTATAACAACCCCCTCCAAAACATAATAAAAATATTAAAAAGGCATAATAATGGAGCATGTCAAAAATACAAAAACAAAGCAGGCAGATAGAGGGAGGTATGTTTTTTCAGACATTTAACAGAAACTGACGACTCAAATGTTAAAAAGCAATATCACATCCCTAATCTGTACTTAAAATATTGAATGCTATCAAAGATTTATTTCACATATATTACCTTTCCTGTCTGAGGTATAGCATTCTTCATTATCCTTGCCACATTTGCAATAGGAAGGTATATATCCTGTTCCCTAAAACTCTCTTTGGAACCATTTGTGTCTTCATGATCATTCATGCTATCCTCAGTATCTAAGAAAACACATATAAACATTAATTATATAATCAGGAACATTAATCAATGCTCTGATATTCAACTGAAAAACGTACCACTTACTTTATATTAGCCTTTTATTATACATAGTCTTTGAGTTACAACAGTAATGGAGTCTGCTCATTGATGGTTGTAAATTGGGTCACACAAGTGACTGATTTTATGACCTTTTGGGGGGTGATTGTTAAGTGAACGCTGCAGTTGTTAAGCAAATCACTGGTTCGCTATGGGTGTCATTTTGCTGAAAACTGGTTTACGGCAAAATTGTCATAGAACACATCAAGGGACTGTGGGACTCTGCAAATGGCGGTAGTTGCTAAGCACCCAAAATATAGTCAAGTGATGGAGAGGGGTGGCCATCAGAACCTTCAGATCTGGATTGTAAGTACCTCCATAAAGGTGCTTTGTAACTTCGAACGTTTGATAAGCTAGTGGTCATAAATCGAGGACTACCCGGATTATTCTTTAAGTACTTTAAAGAATACTAGTTTTTATTTCATATTTTTGCACAACATTTCAAAATTCTAAGAATGCTACTAGCCTAACGCCACCAGCAATATTAAGCCTGAGGCATAACTTATATCAGAGATGGTCATGCTCAGCCTATGACCAAGATGCTATTCTTGTACTAATTTTATGCAGTCTTTTATGCAGTCTTCAGGTTTTTACAACATTTTAATTTAGACACTAAAACAAATCATTTATATCTTTCCCTTCAGCCTCCTGTACAAGAAAGAAAAAGCCATTTTAAACAGAAATGGATATCAAGAACGGAGAGAACGGTCAATTCAAACCATTGAAAAATCAATACACTCTATTCAACATGTTACTTACCATCTTGAGGTTGGATCACATAGTGACTACCACCAATGTAATCTCCAGCAATTCCCAGCTGTGAAGCATCTGTTGTAGAATTATCACCATCCATCTACAATAATATAACATTATTGAACAGAACATTGGCTATATATACACATTATTACCATGATGAATGGCATCAATAATCTTCTGTATCTGAACTTTAACTTTCAAGTATATTAAGAAATTCCCACTGCATTTCTTGTTATTCAATTCAATCTATCTGCTAAATTGTTTTAGCATACCGGGATACTATTGTTCATGTATAATGGTATGGCATTTATTTTATCATCCCCAGACAACCTACTTTATTCTTTTGTAGGGCACTTATACAAACTGAAGTATTTCAGAAGTTATCAAACACATATCAAATGTTAAAGACTTACATATAATTAATTTTCCACTATTTCAAATAACTGAGCATTTCTCAGTGCATTCAGTTCTGTCCAATAAGGTGCCACTGTTCATTAGGCAATGATCTATTCTTTACAAACAGTGTTGTTTCTCTGTGTGTAAATATTTCATGCTTTGGCGCCACTTCAAGAAGCATTAAATTGTATTTCAAAGAGAATTACTGCCACTTCCATAAATAAGGACTGTAATGATGTTACATAATAGCTTAATAATTTGTGTGGCGGGTGATTCCTTCTCTTTGAAAATTTATGTATCTCCATCACTATATCTGTCTTAGTTCTTTTTTGTTATTATTTGAAAAGCAATACAAATAATCTCAATTCCACCACCACCCTGGGAAGCATTATCTACTGCTGTATTACTTAGCCAATATTGGAATAAAACTAATCTAACCTTAGAAAGGGCTTTCTGCTCTCAGTAGTTCATACTTGTAGAAGACAAAGTGGATGGAAGTAGGAAGAGGCTTATAGATAGCCACCCTGTGATTCAAAGGGTGCCTAGAGAGGAGTGTGAAAGTGGGCTGAAAGGGATGGGCATTCAGTTAAAGAGCTGCTTTCATCACATGCCAAATTACTACAGTCCTTCCCTTGCAAACTGAAGAGGGATACAGCACCAGACCACTGAACAAACTGCTTTGGATTGCTTGACAAGAGCCAGACATTTGTACCAGAGTTCTCTGTTGGTATCCCTAACATAGTCCCAGGCACACTTGCCTATGTCTCTGCTCAGAGAATGGCTGCAAAGGATCCAGCCTGTCCACCTCAGTGATTACAGTCAATAGGGAAAGAGTGAAGATAAGATCATAGCAGCAAGAAGAAATGTCAACAAACCATGACATATTATTATCAGGACTGGTTGTGATCTGATGCAGATAATACTTCTGGATAGGGCTACATAGACTATTATAAAATAGTCTATGTAGCCCTATCATTAGAAAAATGGCATCCCTCTGGGATATTATTTTTCCAATTTCTCTAGCTTGCAATCCTGGGCCTTCCTAGTACAGTCAAGTCCTGTCTAGTGTAACCTTACTCAAGTCTTCAAGATGTGTTAAAATCAGCTGTCACATCTGAAAGTGCCAAGAGTACTTATCATATTTTTATAAATCTTATTTTATAATAGAATTATTAAATTTCTATTTTGCAATTCAATAGGGAAACCATTTTTATATTTTGAGAAATGTACTTTGAAAAATTAGATCTGAGACATTAAAGTTCTAATCCTATGCACTGTTACCTATAGATTTCATCAGTCGATTATACTTAACATTACAAAGATAATCAATCTTTGATCTTCTTTCAAATGTATCATGAATTTATATATAGAATTGCAATGTTAGGCAAACTAACACAAGCTGTCTTTTCAGTGCATTAACAAAATAATCTATTCTATATAAAAGTACATATATTTTCAGATATTTTTAAAAAGACAATAATGTACATTGCTTATTACTAATTCTATTTATTGTCCCTTCCAGTTTTCTATGTCCTTTTAAAATGATACTTGACAAATGATGCAATTAGTTAGTTTTATATGTTTGGAATGTTATTAATTGCAAAAATATATGGGGATGTTTGTGTGTGTTGGGAGGTCAGTATTTTAGGGGGCAAAAAAGGAACAAGGGTCACATAAGCATATAAAGGTAGTCCTCAACTTACACCCAGAATTGAGCCCAAAATTTATGTTGTTGAAACATTTGTTAAGTGAGTTTGGAGAATTTTATGATCTTTCTTGCCACAGTTGTTAAGTAAATCCCTGCAGTTATTAAGTTAGTAACACAGTTGCTAAGTGAATTTGGCTTCCACATTGACTTTGCTTATCAGATGGTCACAAAAGGTGATTGCATGACTCTGGGATCCTACAACCATCACAAATACCAATTCAATTGGCAAGTGCCTGAATTTTTACCATGTGACTATAGGAATACTACAACGGCCATAAGTGTGAGAAACAGTCATATAATTTTTTCAGTGCCATTATTTTTGAATTGTCACTAAATGTCACTAAGTTGAGGACTACCTGCATTAGTCTCAAGTCTAACCAAGTACAGACAGATTAATTTGTACATATTTTGTCATTCAGCAAATGATTTATGCTGAAACTTTTAAGAATAATCTCGCATGAGATCCACGATTTGCTTTTGAGCTGTTATGGTCTTTGTTATTCATTTGCTTTACCAATGAGCAAAACACCAGAGATGATCTGTATTAGATCTATGGGGTTTTCTAATAAATATCTAATTCTGGGGAACTAACAGGCAGTATACATTATGTGTATTGGATAAAATCCTTTTAATACCAATAATTTCTGTCTAAATCAGCATAACCCAGGGAAAATATAGAAACCTCCTTTTAAAAAAGAAAAAAAAATAAGCCAGAGAAGTCTGATGAACTATTTTTACTCTCATAGTTTCACAAGCATTTACTCACATGGTGCACCGTAAAATTAGGCAGGCTGGCTGCCTGGCAAAAAAACAACAACAACAAAACCCTGACAATACCGATCTGCTGTAGTTGTGTGTACGTTTTAGGGAGAGGGGGGGGAAAAGGGAATTACTCAGAATTGGTGGGTTGAATCCTTTCAGGCCGGGAGCGATAAGACCCTTTGACAACCGGGCAGACGCACGTGGGAGACGGAACAAGAGAAAACAGCAGCAACCTCTGAATGCTAATAAATGCGCAGAGAAAAACAACCCAGCGGAGGAATAAAGCTTTGGGGGCCATAAATAGCAGCCCCACGGCTCCCCACCCACCTTTAGGGCCGCCATGCCCGGACAGCAGGACGAAGCATCTCCTGGCTGGGGATTGCGGGAGCCCTTTCTGACAGCGTCCCATTTCCCCCTCGGACCCCGTCCTGGAGCCCCCAAAGGCGGAGGAGCAACGCGACGGAGGGCCGGGGCAGAGGCCGGCGAGGGGCGGCAAACCCCGCACCCCGAGATCCCTCTTCTTTAGGCCGAGCCAAGCCAGGCGCACACAAAGCGGGTCGGCTCAAAACAAACCCAACTCCGCCAGAGGAGGGAAAGGGAGCCCGGTTGGGGGGGGGGGGGAGAAAAGGGGGGGGGGCCCCCCCCCGATAGCAAGGAGGGGGCCACCCGCCAATTCGGGAAGAGGGCGCGGAAAAAAAAGGGAAGGCGAGGACGGTTTGGCTCGCCCGTGTCCCGCAGGCGACCCCGAGTGAGGCGCCGGGCTTGCCGCCGACGCCTCGCTCTGGGCCCCCCCCCGCGTTTCCAGGGCCCGGTCGGGCAGCGCCGCCATCTCGCCTTCCCCTCCCCTCGCGGCGAGAGCAGAAGACGCGGCACAAAGAAGCGGCAGGCAGGCAGGCGGGCCCGGCGTGGGCTCCGCTCGGCTTTTTCTAGGCTCCCCACACTTCCTGGTCCCCTCAGCGGCGGCGCGGCGGCAACGCCGGAGCCCGGGGAGGGAGACGGACATTTCATTCGAGCCTGCAGTGGAACCGGTTAGCAATCATTGGCCGGAGCCAGGCACAAACCTCCAGTGCGGCCCTGGTTGGCTCCCTCCACAAATCGGCTGTTTGGTTGGACAGAAAATGGCTGCGAAGGAACCAGTCCCAGCGCGGAGCACCGCTTCCCGAAGCCGGCCTGCCCTCCCTCCGCGCCGCCTCCTGCCCGCCCCCCTCCCCGCGCGGGAGGCTGTTCCCGCTCAAGGATCCCCTCCCGCCGCTGCCTGCGAACCGCCGCGAAAATATCGCCCGCGGCCTCTCTGACAACGGCGTAGCCTGACCTCCGCTCTTTATTCGCCCGAGGGCAGCCTCCGTCTGTCGAGCCAAGCTGAGAGGAGCAACGTGGCAGTTGCTTTTTCCAGTGATTCTTTTTGTACCCTTTCCCTTCCTTAAAAAAAAACAAAACAGACTAGGGACCCTTTCTCGCAGAAATACAGGTGTTATTATATACCTGACATGGCAAACCATGGTTTAAGCAAGGCTTATTCACTCAGAATTGGCTATCCTGCCAACAGCAATTCACATTGTATTCAGATATTGTACTTTGTGGGTTCAGATAACAGATAATAACAGATAATCAGAGTTGGAAGGGACTTTGTAGGTCATCTAGTCCAACACACACCCCACACCCCCACCCCACCCAAGCAGGAGACCCTACACCATTTCTGACAAATGGCAGTCCAATCTCTTCTTGGAAGTCTCAAGTGAAGACGCTCTCACAACTTCTGAAGGCAAGGTATTCCATTGGTTGATTGTTCTCACTGTCAGAAAGTTTCTCCTTATTTCCAGGTTAAGTCTCTCCTTGTTCAGTTTCCATCCGTTATTCCTTGTCTGGCTTTAGAAAATAGATTGACCCCTTCCTCTCTGTGGCAGATGGTGTTAGAAACTGTCTCTTCCCTACTGGGTTTGAAAGAAGACAGAACCCTTGCTTGAAGCAGAGAAGTTCATTTCCAAAAGAACAATACAAGAAGATAAGATCAGTTGTTTGGAAGTACAGGTAGTCCTCAAATTACTACAGCAATTGAGCCCAAAATTTATGTTAAGTAATTTGTTAAGTGAATCTTACCCCATTTTACGACTTTGTTAAGTGAATCACTGCAGTTATTAAATTAATAATGTGGACGTTAGGTGAATCTGGTTTTCCCTTTGACTTTGTCAGAAGTTTGCAGAAGGTGGATCCCATGGTCCTGGGACACTGCAACAGTCATAAATGTGAATCAGTTGTCAAGCCTCCAGATGTAAATCACGTGACCATGGGGATGCTGCAACGGTGTAAAAAATGGTCATAAGTAACTTTTTTCAATGCCATTGTAACTTCAAATGGTTACTAAGTAAATTGTTGTAAGTCAAGGACTATTTGTACGTGTCAATCTCTCCCCCAGTTTCTTTTATAGGAATATTTTCCATTTCTCCTTGAAAGTGCCTGAACAGAGCCACTTTGGAAAGTGCAATTAGCCTAATGGCCAAAAGGGAGCCCAGCTGGGCTTGTGGTTTTTGCTTTTTGAATCGAGCTATGGCCTTGAGGCTCATTGTTTATGAGAGGGGAAGTCTCAGATAGAGGGGGAAAGCTGATATCCTAAAGATATTTTCTTTATTTGAGAAGGCTGATGCCCTTTCTTATCTTGCTAATTTCAACCTTGGTGATAAATCCTTTTAAGTGTAATTCTAATAGTGTGCCCTGAAAATGATTGAAAGGTTGGATGGCCAAAGAATAAATAGTGGGGAAGGGAGGCTTAGTTTCCTTCCTACCATGGATACAAGCTCTATATAGTAATTGACACCTAGGCTTTGGGATATATCCCATAAGGGAAATGTAATTTATTTTAGTTAATTTTACAATGTGAAATAAATCCTTGGCCAGAGTTCACTGAATAACCCACACTTGCTGAGTTGAGGTAAACGGTTTTCCTCAAGCTGACTTCACCCTGGCGCTTCATGGACATGTCCCTCGTGACCATCAACAGGAGGGCAAGGAGAGGTAAGGATGTATCATGAAAATGACCTGTCTAATCTACTAGTGTCAGACACCAATTGAACTCCACAAGCCTTTGCTCGCTGGGGAATTCTGGGAATTGTTGCCCGCAAGTCTTAAAGATGCCGAAATTGGAGACCTCTGGTCCAGTGCTACTTTCTACTTTCCACAGCTCATTCTTCATTCCTAGATCTGGGAAGCCAACTTGCTGGCAACCTAGAGCTCAGGTGGGCCTATATTCATGCCAGATCTGTCTACAGTAAAAATGATTCTTAAACTTGCAGTAGATGAGCAGAAAGGTCTGGCATCTGTTACCAAAACTCGAATGGGTGAGCACAGTGATGTAGGGTTCTTACCCAGTGGATTTGTAGGAAGGAATGAGCAGAGACATCTATGACCAGGTTAACTACATAGAAAAAAAATCACTGAAAATTACTACGGTTTTAATTCTTGTGCTTCTTTGCTGTTGTCCCAGTGCCAAAAGCCTTCCTGAGACCCAGCAAGATTGTATATTGACCAGTCGCCATTTTTTTCCTCTTCACACAAGGTTGTTCCAATTATAGAATACCTTAGAGGAAATTATCTGGATCCTTTTCAGTTAGGGAGTAAATTGCTGTGATCTGGATGACAGGAGTGCATCCCTCTTGGTTCCCTTTCATCTCTTGATAGCTTTCAATATCTTTTGCCATGATATCCTTCTGGACTACCAGCCAGCAATAGTGATTAGACATTGTTTTCAGAGATTCTGCTGTTTTATAACCGGGCAATCCCAGACGGTGGTGGTGACATCAGTCCCATGGGCATTCCATTACTTGTAGTCCTCAACTTACAACTATAATTGAGCCCAACATTTCTGTCCATGTGACATTTGTTAAGTGAGTTTTGCCCCATTTTATGACTTTTCTTGCCACAGTAATTGATAAGTGAATCACTCAGTGGTGGGATTCAAATTTTTTTTACTGTGGGCGTGGCTTGCTGGGCATGGCAGGGAAAGGATACTGCAAAATCCTCATTCCTTCCCCGCCCCACTATCCTGCTTTCCAGCTCTGTTCTCCTGTGCAGGGCAACCAAAGAAGACCCAGCTGATTAGCTGGGACCTGGGAGGCAGAGAAGAGATGGGGGGTGGGGCCAGTCAGATGGTATTTCCCGGTTCTCCGAACTACTAAAAATTTCCACTACTGGTTCTCCAGAACTGGTCAGAACCTGCTGAATACCACCTCTGGAATCACTGCAATTGTTAAGTTCATCACATGGTTGTTTAGTGAATCCGGCTTCCCCATTGACTTTGCTCATCAGAAGGTCACAAAAGTGATCACAAGAACCTGAGACAAACAACTGTCATAAATACGAGTCAGTTGCCAAACATCTGAATTTTGATCACGTGCCCATGGGGATGCTGCAGAGGTCATGAGTGTGAAAAATGGTTCTAATTTATTTTTTATTTTTTTTGGTGCCATTGTAACTTCAAACCGTCACTAAATGAACTTGTAAGTCAAGGGCTACCTGTTCTACAGGGGCTGATTCTTTTCTCAGTTTGCTATTTAGCATCTATATAAGGCTGCTGGGATAAGTCATTGATCCAATCAGGAGATAACACCAGCATATGATGATACCTACCTTTAGGTCATCCCTGGAGTCCCATGCAGATCCGGATAGGACCAAGTAAGCCAAGGTTGAAGCCAGACAAAATGGAGCTGCTGTTTAACCAGATATTCTCCAGTCCTCTGCTTCAATGGTTACTTCAGACAATAGCATTTCTTCTAAAAGAGCAGATGGCCTGCTTGCCTACCTCTTGGATTCATGATGCTGCTAAGCAGCTGGAGGTTATGGCTTGGGTGAGAAGGCATATAATTCACGTTTTTACCAAACATCCCTTCAATATGCTGTCAATGAAATTAACTTCGGAAGGGATTTGGAAGCTGCAGCGGATGAAGAATGCAACAACCTACATGCTTACATGTGAGAGCCATTATAACAATATTGTGGGTGGCGAACCTTCCTTTCCAAGAGTGACCATCCATCTCACCCTTTTCCATTTTATATAAAAAAAGCAATGATCAAATTTATGAAACATCTTCCTGAAGACTAGGTACATTGTAACTACAGTATTTTTTTCAATGTATTAATCTAGACCCTTTGCACACACACACACACACACACACACACACACACACACACACACACACAAGTATGATTTGTGTAACCATTTTTAACAAACCCTTCTTGTTCTTCCCTTGCAAATTCAGTTACACAATTCAGTTTCAACCAGCAGGGGTCGCACGACCCCTTTCGGAATTCAGAACTTCATTCTTTCGCTTCGGGTTCTATTCCCATCGCAACCGGCTGGCGACCATCAAACCCACTCTGGCTCCTGCCGGGGTCCGCGAACGCTAAGAGCTGCAAGCATCGCAGACCTCGGGGCTTCTTCCGTGTTGTTGTTTTTCTTGCAGGACTCTTCCCAGCTCAGGATCAATTGCCACGCGGAGAGAGAGGAGAAGGGAGAGTCTACGGTTCCGGGTACCCGACGTTTCGCTTAAGCG